GGCTTCAGTATGGCAGATCTCTGGGATGCCTCACCCGTCGACAAGGGCGGTATTGTGCTTGGTGGCATTGATACCAGCGTCCTCAAGTCAGAAGTGACTTACTCCCCTCATCTGCCACCCTGGATCAATGCGTTGAAACAGTCGCGCAACTACTGGGGCGTCTCTATGCAGGTCAGCTCGCTCCATTCAATGCTGGAGTACGTAGCTCAAAGCGGCTTTAGTTTCCCACGGCGGGCTCAACATCGGCCACCTCTAAGGATGCATACACGGTAATGTGAGTTTTTCTGCGCAACATCAAGACAGCAAGCTCATGCGTGATCCTCTCTAGCGACACTGGTACAACATTGACGACTCTGCGTGACGCCAACTTTCTGAAGTGGGCAGACCCGATTCCTGGTATGGCTTCAGGCAAGTTCGGCATCTATGGCTTCCCCAAATCGTCGATCCCGCTCGTTCAAGCGCTCGATTTCATCGTTGGCGGCAAGCGCTTCTCCGTGCCCAGCAAAGAGCTCATCATGTCGGATGAGTATGCAGCAGCCCAGGGTCTAGATACTAAAAGCCTGGCTTACACGCATGTCACTAATGCTGGCGGTCTCGACCTCAACATCTTTGGTGCGATCATGCTCACCAAGTTCTATGTCGTACTCGACGACGAGGAGAAGCGGATCGGCTTTGCGCTGACGGCTCATTCTCCGCCTCAATCCGCTTAGCTATTACGTCATGCGATGATATGCATTTCTTGCTGAGTATACGAGACCTTTGTAAAGGACAATAGGAAGAAAGCTAGGTGCAGCGGCATGCTGATCCAACACAACGATCGAAGCTGGGTTCCTCTGGCGTGCAACACTTTGCGCGCTCGCAGCTTCAGACAGAAGATACATTGCCTCGCCAGAGCGCTGTCACAAGTCTAACTATACTTTGTGGTCGCAAAGCCGATTCTGGGCGGATTGTTATGCTCGTCAATACAGACGTAGAGGTGAATAAGGTGATAAGCCCCAATAAGACCGCCAATATTGAGCTCATCCTGGATAACGTCGACGAGCGAATAGGCATGATCTGTGGGCCAGCCATTTGCCACTGCAAGGTAATCCGGGAAGACGAGCTGCTCAGGCTTCAGGGTGAACACCTTGCCTTCGATGGTATAGTCGATTGGATGAAGCTTGGAGACATATGCTTTGGGTACCTTGTACACATTGAGGAAGATGTCATAGACGACATGCTGACTTTTCGCCACCCAGATCTTGAAAGCAGCGGCTGGGAGCAAGGTCTTGGTAGTTCCGGTGTCTATGGCAAATAAGCTCGCCACCTTGTCACTCTTGTGAACGCCTAGTGAAGGGATCTCGAGATAGACCGAGTAATACTGTCGCTCCTTGCCGGCCTTGTTGAGATGGACGCCAGTCCTGGGCGTCCATGTGAGGCTAGATGTCATGAGAGACTTATCGCATCCACCCAGCATGAGAGAGCCGGCGTCGAGGGCAGTGCCGCCCACGAGGTCAAATGGCTTGAAGCCAAGTCCGAGAATGTAGGCATCCATGACCTTGTCTTTGACCAACTGTGGGATGAGCGAAAGAGGGCGTTCGCCCGAATGAGCAGTCGTAGGTGTCCAATCGTCTTGGGAGAGCTTTTGGGGACCGAAGGCGATCAGGCCGTTCATACCCTCGGGGTTAGCTTTGTCGGTCTTGGATGCGCCAGGCGTGCCCACAAAAGCAGCATGGACGACGAATTTTGAGCCGTCAAGACGTATGACATCGCTGTACCCGACACCACTGGCTACTGTTCCATCCGCGTAGTCCGTGCTGGCATTGAAGCCAACTTTGCGAGCGTGAGGCCCTGGTTGATAGGGCGCGATATAGGTCACGGCCGAACCTGCAGCTTGTGTCAGCAAGAAGAGACACTGGAGTCAGCTAGTCGACTGACCAGTATCGATCAAGAGGTTGTAGAATGAGGGCGCATCGCGCTCAGTACCGACTGTGATGTTGAGCGCGAAAAAGCCTTGAGCGGCCGTAGAGATGGTCGCAAAGTCGCCCCGTCGAACCGTAGCTTTATGGATTGGCACATGATGGTGATGCACGCGAAGCTTGATGGGATCTGATAGCGTCTGGCCGGCGAATGCCAGCGCAAGGAGGCCGGCGGCGTACATCTCGAGGCAAATATGGGCGTACTTTGCTCTCGATGGAGAGGAACGTATGCATGGTGATCTTAAATAGGAGGGATGCCGAGTCTCGTGATGGGTGATTGCTGCTTAGTTATCGAGCGTTGTTTGAGATAAGCATGGCGCTTGGAATGATATGCGTGGATGCAAGGTTCGTGCGCGGCCCACGTCAGCAATCTGTCCCTGGTGCGACAGTGCTGAGGAGGCGATGAAGAACGAGAGAGAATCGATGATGCTGGCAGTGAGCAGTCACTCTTGCCATACAGCATGAGATCACTGGGTATCGTCAATCTGATACGGTGTGGATGAAGAATCGCTTAACAGGCCCAGGGTGCGCGGATGCTTCTCAGACTGTTGTCATATTTTATGGGGAGGCACGGGCAAAGTGATGACAGGCGAAGCAGCGCTGTATGACATCGGAAGGGGTTCTTATTCGCAAATTGAGCGGCGCAATACTTTCTTAAGAGTCAAGGAGAGACTGCATTGACTCGACCCAAACACTCTAGCTGTACTTTGTGGTCGCAAAGCCGATTCTGGGCGGATTGTTGTGCTCGTCAATACAGACGTACAGATGAATGAGATGGTAAGCACCAATGATGCCGCCAATGTTGAGCTCATCCGGGATAATGCCGACCATGATGTAAGCGTGGTCTGTAGGCCAGGTCTGCGATTCTGCGTAGTAGTCTGGATAGACGAGATACTCGGGCTTGAGAGTGTAGGTCTTTCCTTCGATGGTATAGTCGATCGGATGGATCTTCGACACGGACGCTTTTGGCACTTTGTGAACGCCGAGTGCATCGTCAAAGACGATCACAGGGCTCTTGCGGAGCCACAATCTGTAGGCGGCTTCCGGCAGGTATGTTTGAGTGCTGCCTGTGTCGATTGCGAACAAGCTTGCCACCTTGTCAGTCTTGTGGACGCCCAGCGAGGGGATCTCGAGATAGACCGAGTAATATTGTCGCTCCTTTCCGGCTTTGTTGAGATGGACACCAGTCCTTCGTGTCCAGGTAAGGGGGCCGGTCATGACGGAAGCATCGCAACCGCCGAGCATGAGGGAGCCCACATCGAGCGCAGTTCCGCCGACGAGATCGAGCGGCCTGAATCCGAGACCGAGGATATATTCGTCAATGATTTTGTCGTGAACCATCTGAGGGATGAGCGACAGGGGACGCTCGCCCGGATGTCGACTGGTCGGCTTCCAGTCGTCTTCAGAAAGCTTCTGAGGTCCGAGTGCCACGAGACCATTGATCTCCTCGGGGTCAGCCTTGTCGGTCTTTGATGTGCCCGGTGTGCCAGCAAAGGTAGCATTGACGGCGAAACGCGAGCCATCGAGACGGATGACGTCGATATAGCCAACGCCGTCGGCCTCTGAGCCATCTGCATAGACCGTGCTGGAGTTGAATCCCGAATAGCGGACGTGAGGGCCCGGTTGGTAAGGAGAAAGATAGGTCACAGCAGAGCCTACGTGTTCCGTGAGCGCAGCGATCATGAGATGTGCAGTCGGCTTACCTGTATCGATCAATAGATTATAGAAAGAGGGTGCGCCGCGTTCGGTGCCAACGGTGACATTGAGGGCGAAAAAAGATTGCGCGGCCGTAGAGATCATTGCAAAGTCGCCACGACGAACCGGAGCTCGGTGGGCCGGCACATAGTGATGATGCACGGCAAGCTTGATGGGTTCCGAAAGCGTCTGGCCAGCGAATACAAGCGCAACAAGGCCTGCGGCGTACATCTCGAGGCAAAGTCGGGCGTTTTGAGCCGTCGATGGAGAAGACAGTGGACATGGTGATCCTCAAATAGTCGTTCGTCGGGCCTGACGATGGACGATAGGCGATAGGTGACAGCTGCTTAGCTATCGAGCGCTGTTTGCGATAAGCACGAAGCGCGGAGGAATAGGCGTCGGTAGGAGATCCGTGCGCGCGGACAAGGTCGAGAGATTGCTCGTTGTGTGACGACGAGGAAGATAACAGAAAGCCTGGCGTCGTCGAGACGGTGTCGAGTGTGAGACAAGTGTCACTGCTTCTTCGGGTCACGTGTCGCATACATGCAGTCCAGCGTGACCATGGGATGGCTGACCAGCTGTGCTTGACCTGTCAGGAGCAGTGTGTCATGTAGCGGCGTGACCTCTCTGCCGAGCCTACTTAATGCCGCTTGCCTCTTCTCTGCCCCGCCACTCCGACTCCCAAGCATCATCTCGCTCAACACACACAAGCACATCCAAGATGAGCAGCATCAAGAAGACTGTCCTCATCGCTCTGTGTCTCGTCGTCGGCCTTGCCTCTGCTTCGCCCGTCGCCCTCAGCCAGCCCGAAGCGTGCGTCCTCATCTTGGTCGATCGGACGATGTACTGACGCAGAGAGAGTGCAGTCAAGGCCGACCGGGTGACTGTCCGTGTGACATTTGCTGCTACTACGATGGTGAGTCGCTGGCTTGCGGGCGAGCATGGCTGATGTTCGCGCAGTCACTATTTGCTGCCTCTGAGGGCATCTAGGGTCGACGGAGGGGGACAGGAGAGACTGGTCTCGGAGGACAGCTGTGATTGATCGAACGAAGATGGAGTCCATGCTGATGTCATTGAGCGTGGAGAGACATGAGGATGAGTGAGAGGAGTGAGAGCAGCTCAGCGCTCGGCCTGGAAGTGCAGAGAGTCGCGCAAATCTGCATGCCGTCTGGCTCTGCGCTCGACACTAACTAACCCTTGGCTCGCAGCCTGCCTCGAGCTGTCAGGATGTCTACACCCATCCCGCGGCCGTCGAAGAAGGCCCGCAAGGCAGAGATAGCAGCAGCGCAGACTCCGCTCAAGGCAGAGCTGCAGGATGCTCCTTCCGTCCTTGTCGAGTTTGTCGACCCTCACGGCCAAGCAGTGACAGTAGACGCTAGCTCAGGCGCAGGCACGAGCACGGGAGCGATCAGGATACCGAGCAATCTCGACAGTGAAGCGCTCGCCCTCCTCGTCAACACGCTCAAGGGCGAAAAGGATGAACCGTACCCATACAGCTTCCACATCGTCCTGCCTGCTTCTGCTTCTGCTGGCCCTGATGAGCAGGAGAGGATACCGCTGGAGCAGTCGATCTATCAGACCATACTACAGTCACAAGCTGCAGTCGCCTCTGTCAAGGGCAAGCAGACCGCAAAGCGCGGCTTGTCCACTGAGGACACACTGAGAATCGTGTGCCAGCCCGAGGCACTCTTCCGTGTGCGGCCCATCAATCGCAACTCTTCCTCTCTCTCTGGTCACGGAGCGCCCATCCTCTGCGCTGCCTTTTCACCGACGGGAAAGTGGCTAGCAACAGGCTCCGGCGATTTTACAGCGAGAATATGGGATCTGAGTACAGAGACACCTCGCTTCACTCTCGGCGGACCTGCGCAGAGCACAGGCGAAGGTGCGACAACGACGACCGGACATCGCGGCTGGGTCCTCTGTGTCGAGTGGGATCCTTTGGAACGCTTTCTCGCTACAGGCTCGCATGACAATACCGTCAGGATATGGTCACCCGCGACGGGCAAGCAAGTCGGCGAGCCGCTCCGGGGACACTCCAAGTGGATCACCTCGCTCGCTTGGGAACCGCTCCATCTGTGTGTCGAAGCGATCGATAGCCGCAACAGTGCTGACAGTCGGCTCCCTATCTCACAGGTCGGGAGAAGGCGTCAGGCTTGCCTCGAGCTCAAAGGACAGTACGGTTAAGATTTGGAATGCCACAGCTGGCAGATTGGAGAACACGCTCGGAGGTCACACGGCTTCTGTCAATGTGGTCCGGTGGAGCGGCACAGGTCTCATCATCACGGCGAGCAGCGATCGCACAATCCGGCTATGGAAAGATGTCAGGATCGCATCTCATTCAGCAGAGATGACGCTGAACAGACTCTGTGCGTGATAGGGAAAGACAGTGCGCGTGCTGTCAGAGCATGCCCACTGGGTGACGACAATGGCTCTCAATACCGATTTCATTCTCAGGACGGGCCCGTTCGATCCCGTCGGACCGACGCCGGCGAACGAGACGGAAGCTCGCACGATGGCGAAAGACCGCTATGCTCGCTTTGTTGCGACAAAAGAAGAGCTCCTCATTTCCGGCTCGGACGATCATACGCTCTTCCTCTGGACGCTCTCTGAATCTGCGCCAAACCCGAAGAAACCGCTCGCTCGGTTGACGGGCCATCAGAAGCAAGTCAACCACGTCGCCTTCTCACCGGACGGCAATCAGATCGCCTCTGCTTCGTTCGACAATTCCGTCAAGCTCTGGCAGGGCGACACAGGCAAGTTTATCGCCAGTCTACGCGGTCACGTCGCGCCTGTCTATCGCGTCAGCTGGTCGGCCGATTCTCGTATGCTCATCAGTGCGAGCAAGGACTCGACGCTCAAGCTCTGGAATCTCAAGACACACAAGATCAGGGTCGATCTGCCTGGCCATACCGATGAGGTCTACTGTGTCGACTTTGTGGCCGACAAGGTCGCTTCTGGGGGTCGCGATCAGCAAGTGAAGATGTGCGTCTGGCGTTGAGATCACCATTGATGCCCTACTGATGCAGCTGCCATGGCGCACAGATGGCGGAATTAGAGCGTCCTTGTAGCAATGTTGTGTATGACAATCGTACAACAAACAGCAGAATCCGTGATGTCTCATTCTTCGTCTACCCACTGGTTCGCTAGCGGCCCAATGTACGGCAAAGTATATCGTTCGAGTATCTCTGCATCTCGGTAGGCTTTCACCCTGCAAGGGTCATCGAGCTCAGACGGGGCACGTCAGGGCAGGAAGAGGAGACGCACGCCAAGGAGGTGAGTGCGATGATGTCCAAGATGAGCAGCAAGACTTCGAAGAAAGATGACCAGGCGAGGATGAGATGGAGAAACGCGGCTGCGAATCCGAGCAAGGAGGATTGCCACGCGTGGAAGCGACTGTTCCCGGAGCCCTGAGCCGCTCGTTCTCGACCTGATGAGGAGGAGACACTCACACATAGTCGTTCTTGTGCTCTGTCATGAGGATGATCAAGCCTGTACAGCTCACCGAGAGAATTGAGCTGATAGCATGGCCCGAGCAGCGGTGAGCTGACCTGATATTGGACCTAACAGATAAGTCATTGCCGCCTCGACGTCTGTTCTCAATCCGAGCGTCGTCTCAAAGGCGTCGGGCCCAAGGGGAGCCAGGCCTGCTTCTGCCGCTCTGGCCGAGCTCGAGGAGTCTGAGAACCCAGCTCGGTGGGCCGAGCTCGCGCTACCGAAACTGGTCGGATTGATCTGGCCCACGCTGGCACCGGCCTGGTAGCTGCTGCTCGATCGAGCTTGATCTTGTGCAGATGGAGAGGAGGAAGAGGAGGCCAGCCAGGGGGATGCGCGTACTTGTGAAGCTGACGGCCCGCTCCCTTGCGTTCGGGAGGATGAAAGCGAGGCGGCGGGCAGCGTGCGATCTTGTGACTGTCCGCTGGACGACAGCGCACCCGCTGACCGTGTCGACGATGGCGGCTCTTGATAAGGCGCAAAGTTGAGCGACATCTTGCCCGTACAGGCGAGTGAGCGCTCTGGGCGGCGGTGACGGTCTTCGAACTTTGCTTTCGATCACTTCGCGAGCAATTTTGCCGGAACGACTGACGACGCTCTCTTCGACTCTGACTGGCCACGGCTGCGACTGGACTGTCCCCGCAGACGGCTCGGGTACATCTGCAGCATCTAGCGCCTTGCTGCTGGTCGTGCAGACTGCAGACACGTCGTCGTCACTCAGATCACACTCGACGAGATGTCATTGCAGGCACTCAGGCTTGCGATGTCGGGCTCACAGCGATGTCAAGTTCTGATCGCACTGCCCGGGACGAGGAGAGGGCTACGCCATCAGCAAAGGCAGCTAGCAAGTCTGGCGCTGACGAGCGCGAGGATGAGATCATCAAGCTTGACCCTGCCACAGCGCATGCGTCGTCCCTTCAGCGTCTCTGCGACGAGCCATCGACCTTCACCGGACCCGTCATCCTCCTCAAGCAGTAGCAAAGCAGATCAGCGAGCCAGAGAGAAGAAAGAAAGGGACGACCGGCCGGCAGCTGGCAAATCCCCTTTTGCCGCCTTTGTCGATGTCCTGCGAGACGAGTTACGGAAGAACCAGGACTTTCAAGATTCCGTCAGGCAGCTGCAAGGCGAAGCAGGCAAAGTGACTGATTCCGAAGCCATGAAGCGGGCGGGTGCGATATACGAACGAGCGAGGGTGTGTACACGTCTACACCTCGGCTGCGTCTGCTGATCGCAGGAGCTAAACAGTTGACGGCATCCATAAGAGAGAATCCCAAGCTGCGCGCAGCCGCAGAGAATCTCAAAGCAGCCGGTCTCTCAGTCTCTGACGCCGTAGGCACGGCACTCGACAGCTTTGAGCAGAACCCAGTGATCAGAGGCTCTCGGGCCGCACTCCGCAAAGCAGGCGAATCGGTCTACGATGCCTCTGAACCCATCCGCAAAACAGAGGCCTACAAGACCGTAGCCTCTTCCGTCGTCGAAGCGCTCGATGACGTTGGCTCCAATGTGAGATACGGTGGCTATGTCGAGAAGGAAGATCGCAGGCGGCGGAGGGAAGCCAGGCTCGCCAAGATCGGTCGCGCACCTCTGAGACCGCGAGAGAAAGTAGCAGAGAACCCAGAGGCGGGCGAGAACATCGTCCTGCACGCGACTGCTTCCACCTCAGAATCCCAATCGACCCAATCTCGACTGCCCGCCCCGGTGGCGAAATGGCTAGCCGGCCTGAAAGAGTCTTACAACGAATCCGAGAATCCCATCGTGGGCTCCATGCGTACAGTCACCTCGACGCTTGGGCGCGTCTTTGCAGAGACAGAGACCTCTCGCGTGCAGTCAAGGATGAAGGAACTCGACCCTTCCTTCCAGATGGAAGCCTTCTTGCGCGAGCTCAGAGAGTACATGGTGCCCGAGATGGTCGACGCTTACTCGTCTGCCGATCTCAAGACGCTCAAAGAATGGTGCTCAGAAGCGGTCAGCTTTCGAGCTCGGCATGCTGCACCGAAGCTGATCCACCCCATCAGACTTATAGCGTTCTGACGGCGAGCATACAGCCCTACCTTTCAAAAGGCCTTGTACCTGACTCAAGAGTTCTTGACATACGAGGCGTCGATGTAAGGCCGGGCCGTCTAGGTGTTCTACAGAGCGCTGACACGGTCCGTGATCTTGCCAGATCGCGGCAGCAAAAGTGCTAGAGAACGAGACCAATGTCTTTGTGGTCTCCTTCAGGACACAAGAGATCACAGCCTTTAGGGATCCCAAGACGGGCGAGGTGGCAGCTGGCTCGGAGGATCAGATCGATCAGTGCGGCTACGTGATGGTCATGACCCGCATAGAGGAAGAGCTAGAGAATCCCATTACTGCGGGATGGAAAGTCATTGATGTGCGTCCTCCTGTCATCTCCTCATTCGCCAGGCCTGACCATTGGGGCGGCACAGATTGCAAGACGTGCACAGAAAGCGTTCATGTGATGCGATCAATGCAAACAACCTCACTCGCTCGCTTGCTCGCCTACTCCAATTGTGCTTCATTTCAGTGCTAGAGAGCACATGGTAAGCTTGCCAGTGTAGGGCGGTTGATTAGTAGATTGTACCAGTGAGTGTCAGCTGTCCGCGAACAGCGCCCGGCACGGCATCGGAAGTATGCGTGTCTGCAAAGAAGGACGAAGGCGAGCGCTCGATGGCAGCTACGGTGAAGTTGGCCGCAGTATCAGCTGCAGACGATGTCAGCTCTCCATTTGTCTGGAACGTGGATGAGCATACTGCCGTTGCTGAGCACGCCGGTCTCGAAAGGTCCTTGCAGACAGCCGATGGATTGGCCGTAGCCGGAATCGTCCAAGACGGGGTTCGGGAATGTCAGTCGTGGTGGACCTGCAAGGCCTACTGTGCCTTGGTGAATATGCTACGTCTCTCTCAGCCCTAGTTCATGCAGATTTTACGAGATGCAGACTTACTGTGGCAGTCCGGGCAGGCGACTGGTACGTTGAGTTTGGTGCGAGGTATACCGTGATATTGTAGCAAATGACGTTCTGTCGAGCGTTGATGCCAAAGTGGAACTCGCCCGATGATCCTTCTTGACCGCCCGTATACGAGTTATTGGCGTTGACGACCATACCCGGCGTGGCATAGGCACTGTAGGTCGATGAAAAGTCAAAGATGTTTAGACCGCCGCTTGTCGGATAGTCTTTGCTGCCTTCGGACTTGTGATCGTAGTTTGCTGGTAGTGCCAGAGCGAGAGGTGCAAGAAGTGCCGCTAGCGTCATGATTGCTTGGGTATGCATCTTGTCGAGGAGCGTTGTTGAGTGATAAAGGTCAAAACGGCCGTTTAAGTAGCTTGGTGAATACGCCAAGGCATGTCGCTGCGTCATCAAGAAGGAGCGAACCGAGGGAAGAGTGCATCGCATCCAAGACTGTACGAGCTGAAGAGAGATCTGCCGGCCGAGCAGCGGTCTGGGGTCGCGGCGGTGGCGAAATGTCGATCACAATGCCAAGACACGCGACTTGGCACATTTCTTTCCAAGGACGGGTACGGCAGCCCAGATCGTATTGATGACAACAGAGCGGTGTAGCGGCTTGTTTGAGGATTGCGGTGTCTCAATTGAGATGGATATAGACCGCGTGGGCGGTCCTGCTTGGGCATTAGTGATGTCAGATTGATCATCCGCGGTCTGACGCACTCGAAGAAGATAATGAAGATGATGATCCATTCTAATCGATGGCTTGTTTTCTACAAGGATCACGTAGACCGTCAGCTAATGAGCTCACAAAGAACGGATGTCTTGCCGTTGAGAGCAACTCCATCAGGGTAGACTGCAGATTGCTCGCCCAGTCTAGCTTCTGATTGACGATATCGAGCCTCTGCTGCACGTCTAGCGAATTTGATACTGCTTCGTGATACTCTGCACAGCTCCGTCAGCAGGCTGGCGGTAGCATGTGGAGGAGACGCACCCTCGAGGGCAGGACTTGACCAGAGAAAGTCGGGCGGATCGAGCAAGTTCTCCTCGTTCAGGTTGAGCTTTTGCCGCATTCTGAGCAGGAAGCCGAAGCTCTTGACAATCTCCTTCTTCTTGATGGGCGCCTCGCTGCCTTTTGCGAGCAGGTCGGGGATATTCGAGAGACTGCAGCCTGCGTCAGGTCACTCCGAGCGCTTGCAAGGGCCGCTCACCCCTCTAGGAATTTGTCTAGCTCCGTCTCATAGTGATCGAGCTTTGTAGAGCGTGTGAGACCAGAGCTCAGAGCTAGGCGCGCTTGCAGGTCGCGTTCTGCAGTAGGCAAAGAAGCGCCAGACGATATCTGATCGGCTCTTCTGATACTTGAGCCAGTCGCAACGTCGAGTGAGTGGGGACTGCTGTCTACTTTGCTGAAAGCAGGAGGCGCAAAGCTCGTGACGACACTGGTCGGCCGCGCAGAGCTATCGAGATCAGTCTGACCAATCGTGATGGCATCGTCTCTTATGCCGGTCTCGCTGTATTTGGTCGCTTTCAGCAAAGCAGGATGTCTTTGTAGCGCAGCACTGACCTTGTCAGATCGACGATGAAGTTGACCGACTCGCTCTGGCACTCGGGATAGCGCTCCTTCTCGACCGAGCTCTCGTTCGTGCCACCTCTGATGACCTTGTCAAGGAATCCAGCAGCTGTATGCTCGCCAAGTCCCCAGGTGACATAGCTACCGTTCTCAAAGATGAAGACTTCGCCAGACTGCTCAGTCTGGGCTATCGACGGCGTATCTCGCAGCGGCCACTGGGGCAGATAGACAGCCTCTCCCATCAGATTGACCGCGTCCTTATCGTCCCCTCGCCCGAGCAAGCCAGATTCCCACAAGATGGTGCGCAAGGCATCAATATCATATTCTTCTGCAGAGGTGAACGCTATCGCCAGGCCGTCCGAGCGAGCAGACGATGAGCTCTGGGTAGCGACAGGATCTGCTTTGAGAGGATTGTTCAGGCTCTTTTTCTTCTTTGGCTTCTTGTGTGGCCGTGATCGCTGCTTGTTGAGCGCTGCAGCGACGGGAGATGCTGCTTGCGCTCTGTGAAGCTCATGGACAGGCTCGATTCGAGGAGGCAGACTGTCGCTCTTTGGCGTCGTCGCAGAAGTTGAGGACAAGTATCGATGACGTGACTGACAGGCGAGTCTGTGCATAGACTGACTGATACTCGGTACTGTCATACATACCTGTCTTGCAAGCCTCTGCGCCATGATGCCTCACGTCGATATCGTTCGGTCAGAGCGTGCGTACGTGGTCAGCGCGTGTGGCGGCTTGATATGGACGTCGTCAGTTGGCAGCTAATTCATCTGATGCTCCTCACACATCGATGGCGTTCCTCTCAAGCCCTCTATGAGGCTTCCTCCCTTCTCGACACTTCTTGTCACAGATCAGACTCGCTCAGGAGCTCCGTTGTTGAGGTTCGAGTTCCCCTGCATGACGTTGTCAGGTCTCCTCAGTCACTTGTTTGCGCCAAACCTCTCATCAACGTTCTTTGTCGTGGAGAGCGACGGCAAACATCATCAGCTATGAAGTCTGCTCTTGCAAGCCTCATCGTATTGGCAGCATCGCTGTCGCAAGCTGCTGTCGTGCCTCACGTCGCTGGCAATGAGCTCGTCGAGCGAGGACTCGTCAACCCAAACCTGCAACACTGTATCTACAAGATTGAGCTCGGCGAGTGATGCATGCTTAGCGGATCACATTTCCTGACCGTATCATACCTCAGGCCCAAACAGTCTCGACTGGATCGGCGGCTGGAAGCAACAGTGGTCGCTTCCAAAGACCACTTACGTCTTTAGCGAGGTGGACCCCCTGTCTGACGACACACATCAACATGGCACAGGTCTGTTGTGGACCAATGAACGCTACGTGGATTCATCGGATCCCAACAACATCAAGATCGGCCGCATGATCGAGTACCGCAGTACGCTTCCAGTCCGTTATGTCTCATCGCATCTGAAGCCCAGCAGTGTCGGGTCAGATCCATGATCAGTACAATTACGACATCAACATTCAGCTCTTTGTCGACTATTACGGCAATGTGATCGATGCGTACATGCCTCATGCGGTCATCGGTGAAACCCATTTCATCTTGCCCAACGTTCCTGTTCCTGTGAGCATCGTAGGTCAGCATAAGAGGACCGGCTGACGATCCTGGTCAGGCTGACAAATGGGGCCTTGCCTGCGACGGCGTGCCTATCCAGAAGCATCCTCAGCCATACTGAGCGCTGAGCGAGTTGTATAGCGCAAACGCAATCTATTTCCTGCTCGGCAATCACTCCATTGCTCAGTGCGATCATGTCGGCGGCTGCCATCGCGCACAACTCCATCTTACAAGCTTGAGCGAAGCAAGCCATTGCTTGGAGCAGTGTCAAATCATTCTCGCAAGGTTCTAAGAAGAACGCAGACTTCCAGGGCGCGAGCCACCGATCGCCGTGTCTGACTCGTCGGCGCCCTCGGCCGCCTTTGGACGCAGTGTCTCCATTGCGTCGCATTCGCCCGGCACGATGGGCGTGCAAACAAAGTCCACTAAGTCCGCATGAGCATCCATCACGATGCCAATGGGTCAGCTGACCTGTGTCTTGGAGAATCCAACTGCCGCACAGATCCGGTGTCGCGGCTTGCTGGTGGCGATAACAGCGCGATGATAGCCTTCTCCGCTCAAGCCGATATTGTCCTGCATTCATATTCAGCGCAGATCCATCCATACGCACACATGGCGCACGAATGGGCGCAAATGCGAGCACAAAGTCAAAGCAAGAAGTCGTGCGACAGCAAGCGTTGAAAGTCTCGGCTAGACCTGCGCGTCAGCGAGAAGCCAGACAGGTCAAACGGTAAGCTGACAAGAGGTCAGGCCGTCAAAGCAGATCGAGCCTTGATAGTCAATCACGTCCGGTGTCACTGCTATGCGTCGGAGTTTGCAAACGGGAGAAGCATAGCGATCGTATGAGTACTGTTTTCTTCTTCGGCATGAGTGTGACAGAGACGCAAGTGCTAGCGACGCACGCAGTCGACATCGCCTACCATCATGCCGTCTGGCTTGATCCAGATCTTCACTGTCGCCGGATTGACAAGAGTGACCATGTTGACAGAAGCTGTGCCGTCTGCTTGCTCAAGCTTGCAGCTCGCCGCGCACGGCAGGAACTCGATGAAATACGTGCGTTCCCTCACAGCAAGACACCCAAGTGCGATACTCAGCGAGAGAAGCACGAGCAAGCCCATCATTGGAGTAACAAGATGCAACAGTCTGTAAGAAAGCCAGAAGTGCAGGTGAAACTATGGCGCGCTGGTGGCGACATGCGTACGTCCTCACTCTGGCTCTTCTCTTCAGCGCTAAGAGCATAACATCGCTCGTTGAGGCTCTCAGGGACAACATGGAACCATCCAGTGCGTAGCGCTGCTCACGTTGCACAAAGCGGGCGCTTGGGCAAGGTGCAGCAATCGATCATCTCACCATCGAACAAGCGAGCACAACAGCAGCCTCTAACTACGAAACCATTTGCCACAGAAGCGCGCCTCACAGAGGTGATGCAGCGGTTCTTGCGAAACCGATACGCTTCGCGTCAGCATCGAGCACGACGTAGAAGCTCGTCAGAGACAGAGCGCCAAAGACGTTGCCAGCTTGAGTTGCAAGCGAAGGCTGGATGTTAGTCCAGGCGAGCTTGGTGTCGAGACCTTGCGTCTTAGCGACTTCGTCACTGAGCACGAGCGAGCTGCCTGGCATCGAGAACTTGCGCCCGGAGATGAAGAAATCTAGGTCTGGAATGAGGGGAACGGAGGACTTGGGCATGCTCAGGAAGCCATAATCCGTTTGCGCCAAGCCCTTGATTGGCTCTGCCCACCTGTCAAATCGGTTCAGATTCCATGCAAGCAGTTATCGTATGGGTCACTTGCTTGGAAAAGTAGGGATCCTTCAGATAGGTGAGTGTACTGCCGGTATCACTGCGCATCTGAATGAGCCTACATTGTGAGCATGGGGACGAGCACGAACATGATGGTGTAGACATCAGCTTTCTTGTCTGCTGTGAGTCCAATCGACGGAATCTATCGCGCCCGCGATAAGCTTCCTGATGTCAACGATGGGTACATCTGACCGTCATTGCAACGGCCCAAAATTCTCGCGGGCGGCCGTGAATGTTGATGTACGCGGGTAAGCGAGGCGAGTAGACAATGTCCGATCTGAGCTTGCTATGATCAATGCCACCGATGTATAGACCGTGTCTGTCGGCTGGCAAAGCGTCATTCAAGTCGTCGACTGTGAAGCCAAGACCGATGATGTTGCGTTTGACAATGCCGCTAGCCTTTAGCTGGGCAGCAAAGCCCAGGAATTGTCCAGGCTTGCCACCGCCGTCGAGCAAAGCGTCGTCGACCAATCCTTGGGGACCGAGACCGACTGAGCGCTTGATCAGTCACATCGAGCCTGATCTCCAATACGCACTTATTCCGCCTTGGCTTGTCGGATCAGGCTTAGCATTCTTTGATCCTTTGATACCGCCGAAGCCGAGGTTGAATGCGAGGTCACCGACGGCAACTTGATCGCGGTACATGATTGCTTCTACGGCAGTACCGTCCGAAAAGGCCTCGGCAAGAACAACTTTGCTTGCAACGGCGGAGCGATCCGGCGTGTAAGCTGCGTATACGGGTCAACATCGGTCATCCTTTGTTTTCACATGACGACTGACGGTTGACGTATATCGGCCCACTGCCTGAATCGAGCATAACATTCTCATAGGTGACCGGATGGGTTGTACCGATCGTCAAATTGGTATAGAAGCTGCTTGCCATGAAGCTCTTGGTCGGTACAAAGGCTCCACCGTGAGACTGAAGGCGGTGGCGATGGTGAACGCGAAGCTTGAGAACCGATGCATCTGCAACGTAAGCGGCAGCAATGATGATCTGTAGGGCGATCAGCATCTTGCTGTCCTTTCTTCGCAAACGAGTGAGCTGAAAGTCTAGAGCGATTGGGAGGTAGCGAAGAGGTCAGACAGGTCGTGTTGTGATCGATGGGCAGATAAGACAGCTGTTGCATTACATAGCGACAATTTAGGCAACATGCGGCGTATGAGTCGTCTTGCCGAATCCGATACGTGGTGGCGAGGTCTGTGCGTCGAGCGCAACGTATAGGCGAGCCAGCGAGTAGGCACCCAAAACATTGAACTGCGCAGGCTGGGGCGTAGCGGCGACATAGCTGCTTTCGCGTTAGCAATGATAACGTGCCAATGATGACGGTACTGCACCTCCAGGCCGTCGACATGTCATATCCGTATCTGCGGAGATACGAATCTGGGAAAAGCAGGTACTTGCCAGGAATTGTGAAGGGTACGCCCTCGATGACGATATCCAGGTCTGGAATCGTGTGGATCGAAGATCTGGGCACCTTGACGAGCTGCTCGGCGGGGCTTAGCGTTGCGCCTTCGATCTTGCTGAACCATCGTTTGAAATATTTTGGCTGCAGGAGCGTTATCGTTGCACCCGTATCGCTGTCGACCGACGTACCAATCAGCACGGAAGGTGTCCTCGGGCGTAGCTTACATAAAGCTGTACGAAGCGGTCGCGTCCTTCTTATATATCCCGAGCGAAGGTATCTATATGTTCGTCAGACAATAGCTCCTCCGGATGTGTTTCTACAGACTTGCCTCCATAGCGAAAGACCAATACTGCGCAGAGAAACCGACAGCGGTGAAGATGGGTGGAAGTCGAGAAGTCCACGTCATCTCTGACTTGAGGACACTCTTATCGATGCCGCCGAGAGTGAGAGCTCCCTTGTTGAGACCATCGAGCCCTTGAAGATCAGCCGGCACAAACCCAAGTCCAATGATATTGGCATCGATCAGCTTGTCGGCTGTGAGTTGGGTCATCAGCGTCTTGACTTCTCCTGGCTTCGCGCCACCCGATCCAAAGACCGCGTCGGCCAACTCTTGAGGCGCGAAGCCTACGTAGCCGTTCGTAGACTCGGGACTACCTAAGCTCAGCTCGCGCCAATTGAAATATCAGAGAGTGATGACCCACCCAGGACCGTATGGATTTGAAGGATATGTGACGCCACCGAAATCCATTTTGAGCTTGATGCCGGTTCCACCGAGGCTGATGGTGTCGCGGAAGACGTTGCCAGAGGCTGTCTCGCCAGATCCGAAAGTTTCGTTGAAGACGACGGGCGTCTTGACCGCAGTAGGCGTTGGCACGTAGGCTGTTCTGCGTTCGTCAGCTATCCGCATCGTTGCTGCAACGACGCACGATTGAAGAACGTCACGGCCGAACCGGTATCGACAAAGAGATTTGAGTACGACAGGGCACTGTCAGACATATTGACGTAGAACGACGAAGGGAGGAGCCGTCGATTAGGAAATTTGGTCAACAAGCTGTCGGCAAACCCATCGACTTCTGGCTTTTGGTGGAGCGGAAGCGTGATAATGCCGCCAAGCGCAATTTGCGTGAGGCATGCGATGCTGATGACTTGGTTGAACATGTCTTCCTGTAGTCTGTGGACGAGCGTTGCTGGCGAGGTCAGCAGAGTCCTCAGATAGGATCGTCTCAGCCCGCATCATTGCAGCAGATAAGCGCAATGCATTGCTACGACGACCGACAGACGGACGGGTTGCGAGCGACTACGCCGGCGAGAAGCTGGTCTTTGCAACGCCAATCGTTTCGTTGTCTGCATCGAGCACGACCGCGAAACGTTCGTGATGATAAACGCCGAAAATGCCACCTTTACCCTCGTCACCTTTGGTCACGAAGCTGTAGGCATTCTTCTTGATATCGAAACCTAGGCTGGCTGCATAATCGTCGGGGAGAAGAAGACTTGCGCCGGGCATTGCAAACGTAACGCCTTCGATACGGAAGTCAAGCGAAGGGATATGCTCGATTGAACTTCTTGGGAATCCGACAGCCTCGACCTGTGCATCCATAAACGCCCCAGGGATCTGAGAGAACCACCTGATGACGGCACTGGTGAGAAGGATCTGCGTGCAAATAGATGGAAGCGTACTTGTCAAAGTACGGTTTGGGGATAGCAGAAAAGGTTGTACCGGAATCGAATAACGTGTACGCAGCTTTGGAATCCGTTTTGAGCAATCCGATCGAGGGAAACTCTACTAAAGCGCTCCAGTAGAGGCGCGGTTTGCCTTGAGGATTGAGGATAGCTGGCAGACGGGGCGTATAGACGGGAGGCGATTGGAGCAAGCTTGCGTTGATCCCACCAAGGGTCATGGCTTGTGAGTCGACTGCGTGGCTTGCGGTCGTGTCGACTGGCTTGAAGGTCAGACAGAGCACGTTTCTTTCGATAGCACCGGCGGCAACGAGCTCCTCCATCAAGACGCGATATCTGGTAGGCTTGTCGAAGTACTGTCGAGCGAGGAACTCTGGGCCAAACCCGATGATGCCATTGGCTTGAGCAGAGCTAAGTGGATTGCTTCAGTAGTCATCGAGATTCGACGTGGAAGAAAAGCGCACTCTGGCCGGGAACCAGTGAGAACGCTTCCGATTGTGGTATTGAGTCTAAGCTTGCCAAGACCAACGGTGTCGCGAACCATAAAGGCATCAACACTCGAGCCATCACCGAATTTCTCTTTAAAGTGTTCTGTCGTATTGATTCCGGAGTGGCTGAGAACGAAGTTTTGGACCCAGCTGATGGAAGAGCCAGTGTCGATGATGACGTTTGGATATAAAATGCCGCCGACGGTGATGTTGGTGTAGAAGGCCGTGTGACCGATTTCCGAGATTGGCAGGTTGCGATGGTGACGACGGGCTAAGGCGTCCTTCTGCACGGGCAGACGATGGACTGGTAGCGTTATCACTGCCGATGCTACAGTAGCAAGCGAGAAGAGCACCATACTGTCGAGCATCTTATCTTTGCAAAGTGGTTGACTTGCGGATGCGGTGCGAGGAGAAGCTAGCGATACGATTGCGTAGGCACGAAACGTGACGTTCGAACATTTCCACTGGCGATTCAGCGGGGTCAGTGCTCGCGTATGAGCGCTCATGCGGTCCAGAGCTCGTCTGGATCGATCCAGTCACACTGTCGGGTACTGTTCAGGTAGCCAAACGATACATCGTCGCATGCATAGGCGCAGGACTGCTTGACTATGCTTTGCCGCGTCAACGCGACCGGGGCGGATTGGAGGAGCTGTACAGACGCACAGTAGATTGGAAAGGCGGCCGCGCAATGGGATGGTACTTCGTAGCCATGCAGATTCGAGCCATCGCAGGTCAAAGAGGCGGAAGTGGACTCTATCTCCGCTGTGTTGTCTGCGACACACGGTGAGAGAGCTTCTGGCGGGTGCAGGCAGTCATGCCTCGTCCGACCAAAGCCTTAGTGTGAATGCTAAGCTCGAGCCTGCAACACGAAGCGTACAATGCTCGATCGGGATACGAGGGTTCTTGAGCGATAATGGAAAGTGGCTGACTCAGGACGATCTGCGCTGCTTGCCAGTTGCTGACGTCTGTGCCTCGTACGGGGCGGCAACGACCGAAAGCATCGACCTCTTCCTGGCCGGTCGCGGTGAGAAACGACTGTTTGACGTGAGCGACGCGAACGGCAGGCAACGCTCCCATCCGGCACGCACACATCTGACGGGAGGCTCGAAAGCAGGATTGATGGATATGCGTGCTCTCAGTGACGTCAGACGAGCGCTCAGGTTGGGAATGTAGTGGTGCTCCTGGTAAGCCGTTCTCGAACAGTACGCTTCGCAGTATCGAGCTTCGATACAATATGCAGACCAGCGGGAGGAAGGATGTGCGCTGACGATACACGCAACGCAGATGGAGAGTGCGACCCGGAGAGGCGAGAGCATGAGACGAGCGGGAGTGTCCTTCACAGTGCACGACGCGCGAGTGAGCTTTGAGTCAGACTCGGTGAAATCCGTGAGAGAAAAGTAAGCCTCACCCGCCAAGTTGACAGGGAAAGCCCGAACCAGCAAAGATGTCGACGACGATCTCAAAGCGCCGCAAGTTTGTGGCCGATGGTGTCTTCTACGCCGAGCTATCCGAATTCTTCACTCGCGAGCTCTCATCGGAAGGCTACTCTGGCTGTGAGGTCCGAGTGACACGAGCGAGAACAGAGATCATCATCCGTGCCACTCACACGCAAGAAGTGCTCGGCGAGAAGGGCAGAAGGATCAGAGAACTCACGAGCCTCGTCCAGAAGCGATTCAAGTTTGGCGAGGGATCGGTCGAGCTCTACGCGGAGAAAGTACAGAACCGTGGCCTGTCTGCGATCGCCCAGTGTGAATCTCTTCGCTACAAGCTCCTCGGTGGTCTCGCCGTTCGTAGGTCAGTCGACTGCTCGATGTGACCGCCAGCATACTCACACGCAGGTCCCACAGAGCTTGCTATGGTGTCCTGCGATTCATCATGGAATCTGGCGCAAAGGGTTGCGAGGTCGTCGTGTCCGGCAAATTGCGTGCTGCCCGTGCAAAGTCGATGAAGTTCACCGATGGCTTCATGATCCAGTGAGTCACCTGACGGACGCTGAGCCTCTTGTCTGTATGCTAAGAGAACGCATCTCGCAGCTCCGGTCAACCCGCAAAGGACTTTATTGATCAGGCTGTCCGTCACGTCCTTCTCCGTCAAGGCGTGCTCGGAATCAAGGTCAAGATGTACGACTTTGCTTGGACCCGGATGAGCACACGCTGACATGCCATGTTCGTCTGCAGCATGAAAGGATGGGATCCTGAAGGCCGCACCGGCCCATCCAAGCCTTTGCCCGATTCAGTGACGATCATGGACGCCAAGGAGGAAGCGCCCGTCGGACCACCCTCGTCTGTGGGACGTGGCATCACTGCCGATCTTCAGCTACCTCAGCATGCTACCCAAGTTGGACCTCCCGGCAATGCCACAGAGACCCAGCTCAGCATGCCTGCCGGAGCCGGCCAGGACGGCGCTGCTCCTGCTACGGTCTACTAGACCCATCGTGCGCGCAATCCCTGTAGCATTGCATCTGCGCTCGCGCCCTCTTTACAGCTACATCGCCTGACGCGCGAGCTCGCTCGATCGAGCCCGCCTTTGTGTCCGCTCAGGCCTTGCTCGATCACTGACCTTCCTCCTTCTCTCGCTCTATCTGCAGAGCTCTCTACATGTTGCCACTAATGTCAAGCGAGAGAATCACATGGCGACTGTACCAGCTCGTCGTCGCCACACTATCGCTGCTCTTCGTTCATACACTCGTGCAATCATGGGATGACACGACACTCAGGTTCCGTCACAAGCTCATCAGCTATGCGCCCGTGCGCAATGCGCCCATGCTGCTGCATCACTTCAATGCCAATACGACGCACAGCACGCTATCGAGCGCGCTACGAAGCGATAGGGACTATGTCTATTTCCCTCAGTCTGGCGGGCACAGCAACCAATTCTTCACTCAAATGCGTGCACTCTATATCGGTCATCTCCTCAACCGTACCGTCATCGTGTATGTCGTGCAGTCCACGCTGGATGAATCGAACTCACACGACAGGCAGACCGCCGTTTGTGCGAGATCTGACTCATTCTGCAGCATCGTCGCCCGAATTCACCGACTTCAGCGCTATTTACACTCTACCGTTTGCGCCATCGATTGGCTTTGACCAGGCGAGGGTACACAGTATGGCAAACGCTCGTGAGAGCATGTCTTGCTGGACTCGCGCAGAGCAAACGCTTCGCTCTTCCCACTGCTTCGATCTTCATGCTTTTGCAATGCCTGCATGGGGAAGGGGATCGTACGAATCGCTTGCATTGCTCAACCAGAACCCGAAAGATCTCGTACTGCACCTAGATCGCCTGAACGCAAGCTCAGGTACGGCCCGACCGAATGCGAAACTGCTCTGTGTACTTGACGGCTTTGCATTCCATTCGGCTGCTCTGATCCAGAGCGAGCATCGATACATTGCACCTGAAGAGCTACACGAGCGCGATCCTGCGTGGCTCGACATTGGACAACATCTCGCCTTTACAGCAATGGTCAGATTGGAAGCTGCTCAAGTCGTCCGAGACGCGTTCGGAAGCTGGCACGCTCGCTATGTGGCGATCCACATCAGACGGGGCGATTTCTGTAGGTACGGCAGGGTGAATTGCTCGCAAAGTCATGCAGATTTCCTCACGCCATTTCAGCGCGCTGTAGCTCGACTGCAAGTACGAGGCTGCGTCGAGACGCGCAGTCTGCCAAAGGTCCTCGTTGGCACAGACGAGAGCGATCCCGGGTTCCTCGACGCGATTGAAGCGCTCGGCTGGACGCCTCTGTCCCTCGTCAAAGCCCACAGAGAGCACGACAAGCTAGACAGGGGCATCTTGACTGCTGCCATCTTTGCCCGCGCTCATGCCTTTGTGGGAACATCGCAAAGCACCATGTCTGCGCTCGCGCAACGAAGAGTAGGCGCTTCGTGCGCTCATCTAGTGTAACACGATCGCGATGCATAGATTGGAGTCCTGAGCGAGATAGGTGTGAACGCTTTGGCCCTCTGTCTCACGATCTCTTGCAAGCGACGAGATTGCGCTCACTCCGAAACTCTGCAGACAGCCGAAGCAACATGATGGCGAGGATGTCCAAGATGGTCAGGATGCTCAATGACAGTCTCGAGGCTTGGTTCTGCATCGTCGCCGTGCCCGCTTGGCTCTACTTGTTCATGACATTGTCGCCCTCTGACGGCGGTGCGATCAGTCGTGAGGAGGAAGCGATCCGTACGCTCTCCATCTTCCAGATCGGTGTCGCCGTGATGGTCTTCATCAACGTCGTATCAGTCTCGAAAGCATACATGCGACAGCCGAAGCGACTCATCCTTGCTCTCGATGAAGGAAACCTCGAACGGGGCGAGAAGCCGTCGCCTGAGCCTCACTTCGAGGAGGAGGAAGAGCAAGTCAGCAGAACTGAGCTCGGTCTGGAAGGCGTAGCCATCGGCTGTCTCGTCACTGCAGTATTCACACATCAGGTTCTGTATCTCATCGGTGTCTTCCTCTCGCTTGATGTTCTCGTCGGACTGCGACTTGGCGACATGGCGTTACAATCCAGTGCAAGTCATTCGCTTTGGAGCCCGACGGTGCCCATCTTGGACGATGTGCCTGTCCGCATGCCGAACGAGCCTCAGACTTGCACGTTGGCTCGTTTGCTGCACTGATGTGATGCATGCTCATGCCTTTCGAAACGTTGCACAGAGCTAAACAAAGGCTACCGCTTCCATGGGAGCGGCACGATCGCATGTAGTTGCGCTTGTGTATTGCAGATGTAGATCGATTGGCAAGCTGTGTTGGACCAGCCTCCACTCGTACATATTCTCAGCAACTCATGCATGTACATTCATGCGCATCTCTTCCTTTTGACAGCAGTGACCGCAAGACCGGGACTGTCTCAGCGCGAAGGAGCTTAATTCATGATGATCAACTGCCCTGTGATCGACTCCGGTCAGCCTGGCTTGGCGCCTCTCTATTTAGATCAAATCACGCGCCCGTTCAGCCATTCTCGGTTTCGAACGTCGATAGAAGGCTCATCGCTGGGGCTTTCCAGTTGTCTGGGACACACAGGGCGCCCGGGAACACCGTTCTCCGGAATCGCCTATTGTGCATTCGCGCACAGTAGCGTGTGAGAGTGTGCATGTCTGCACTTAAAGCGAGCTATCGGGAGAATTCGTCTGACAGCTCCACCTCTCGACAGAGAATGTCGGTGACACGAGACACGATCAGCAGCAATGGCTACACATTACTGCCCTCGCCCAACACGAGCGAGAAGAGCTCGACCAGCTTTAGGAGGTCATCGACAGTGCTGTCGAGATGGATACAAACAGTCTGCAAGCGATGGGTCATCTTAGCATGTGCGACATGCAGCTTGCTCATCATACTCGTTTTTGCGAGTAAGGGCCCTGTACGCGACAATCTGCCAGCTTGGCTCAAGACTCCTCCCAACTCAGATGAAGGGATATTCTCCATCTTGCCCATCTCTGCGAGCAGGACACCACCTAGCTGGCCGGAGAAGCATAGACCGGCATCGTCACATAGACAGGGCGAAGCACCAGATGACATGTCAATCGCCCTCGCCAATGCTGTCTTCCCGCTCCCCATCTTCGAGAACTATGTGGAGATACCCTATCATACCGAACGACGCAAAGTCCTCACCGAGCTCATCCACTGCCATCTGCACAACATCTGTACAGCCGCACAGAAGAGCGTTGTCTTGTAGATCAGCACCCAGACGTACGGGAATCAGGCTGACGAGTCTGCAGAATCGGCGCTGGGAGATTCTTGTGGGCTTTCGACGACACGTTCGACAAACCCGCCAGTTTCGCAAATGGCGAAGCGAGTCAGTCGATGTCGCCTGGCAGCCTGACTTGACCTGACGTGACTGCAGTTCTCGGGAAATCCTTCATATGGGGTCTAGAGCAGCTCGAAGTGCCTTATATCTTTGTCGAGATGGGGGCCGATGGCTCAGCAGGAATGCTACAAAGCCTTGCTAGGTCAGACAATCGCTGTGTAGAGACCGCTGTAGCTTCACTCAGCTTTGCGCACTGTTTGACAGGATACACGCCATACTGACAACGTCTGTAAGAGCAGTCGTACTAGATTATCTTTCAGGCAAGTCTAGCAACAACGCCTCTGAGACATGCTGACGGGAGCGCAGAACCCGAATGTCTGGCGATGGAGCGATGCGTCGAGAGCAAAACGTTTGCTTCTGGTATTCCGCCCTGGAAGATCTTTGTCTGGTGCGTGCCTCGCCGGATCGACGTGCGCAATGCCGATTGTGCATGCAGGGATGGACTCGGCGGTCTGATGGAGTACGAGAAAGAATACAGGTGGCCGTGGCATCTCGTCGGCCAACCCATGGGTGTCAATTCTACTTATCTCGGCGTCACTGTCGAACCCGACTGCAAGGGACTATCCTTCACGCCCATGCAGCAACGGAAGAACACTGCTTTCATCTTCGGCAAAGAACGACATTACTTTTCGTCGCAACGGGCTGCATGGAACGAGACAGATTACAATGCGCTAGAGAAGGAGACAGGATTGGTTCTCACGGTCGGAACCCAGCCTGTCACCGAGTGGGATGACACACCGCTGCCAAAAGTATTGAGCAACCTGGGCACATTCTCCAGGACGGAATTTATCGAGACTCTGGGGAGTGCAAGAGTTGTCATCGGTCAAGGCAATCCGACTGAGTCTCCGACGCCTTTGTAAGTCTTGTCCACACGGCTCTGTGCGATCACTCACGGCTTATTTCGTAGCGAGGCGATGTGTATGGGTACGCCGGTGGTCATGCCATATGTGCCCGTGGGAGTGCCAGAGGATTTCGAATTCGATGGCAAGCGAGAGCATTTCTGGGCGCAGCACAGTCAACTCATGATCGAGAAACCGCCCCACGTTTACAATGTGCGTGCGCACGATGCCCATGCACTCATCAAAGCAGTCAAGGACGCCCTTGCCAGACCGCCAAAAGGGCCTTACATTCCGCCTGCGCTGACGGGAAATGCCTACGTCGAGCGCGTACGCGAGTTCTTAGACACGGATTGGCATGCACTGCATAGCATTGCCATGCGCACGCTCGCTTGAGCTCTGTAGACGAACAACTTTGTAGTCTTGTTGCTTGTATACGTTATCATGCAGGGATGTATGCTATATCGCGCGAGTCGCTGCGCCTGCTTGTTGTGAGCGTGTGCCGACTATGCGGGTGGCTTTGACGGCTTGTTCGACTGCTGCAAGACCCCAGTCGAGACCATGGTTGTGGCCTCCTGGCGTGAGACCGGCCCTCGCTTGAGCTTGCTCCTCGGTCAGGCAGGTGAGCACGCCAAAGATGACGGGTATGCGCGCGTCGAGCTGGACCCGCATGAGTGCCTGCGTCGTCGCTTCTGCGATATACTCGAAATGCATAGTCGAGCCTTTGATGAGGACTCCGATGGCGATAGCCACGTCGTACCTTCCCGTGGACAACGCTCTGGGATCTGTCTGTTTGAGATTTGACATGATGATCAAGAGCCTATTGACTGACATTTGTACGGTCGACGGCAGCTCAAAGCTTCCGCTGACGCTCATGATGGCTGTCTTGCTCTCTTTGACGCCCTGGCTAGCAAGTGACTTGACGGCTCCTTGCACGAGCGGCTCGATGACGGTCCAATTCCATCTGTGGATCTGTCAGTGCAAGCAGGCCACGATGACTCTGTACAGACCTGGCGTGGACGATGAGGACGCGAAGATCGCTGCCATCGAACTGCTCCGTCGAGGCTGTTAGGCCCTTGATCGTCGCATCTGCCATCCTTGTCCCTTTCGCCAGACCGGCACAGTCGCGTAGACCAGTCGACCCGCTCGACTCGACCTGTTGCCTTGCCGTGCTATCGACTCATCCGTGCGGTTTCCGACGACGACGAGCTCATGACCGGACGGGCACGGGGCTCAGATGCCGGCGCGCCGTCTCAGTTTAGGCTTCAAGGCTGGGATCCGCTCCTGATCATCTCGCAGGTGGACCAAGCACGCTCGCGTTAAAACACAATGCTGAGGCTATGAGAGCAGATCGTATCATTGCAGGCAGTACACTACCTTGTACTAGCGCTACTGATTCCTCCTCTGCTATGGATGTTCGCCGATCCACTCTCGCTCTCGCTAGAAGGCGGCGCGTCCAACGTCGCAATGGTGATGGATTGGCGAGAAATGGTGGGCAGAGCGACGATAGAGGAAGACATTGGCGCTCTCACTCGCTTGCCGTCTTCTCTCGGTCGTCACGCTCCTTCGACGCATAGCCACTGGCGCGTCAGCAATGCCACGAGAGAGTCAGAGACCGAAGTGGCCAATCATATCATCGCCAAAGTCGCGGATGAGGTTGGCAGCTTTGCCGCCGATCCTCTACGAGGCTACGTACTTGGACTCGCGTGGATCGCTGCTTCATCTCTCGAGTAAGCTCTCGCACGCTAGCGCGCAGCAATGCTCAGACTAGACGCGCGCAGTGTTCTGTTCCTATTTCATTTTGTTCGCAGGCCGACTCACATTCTCGACTTCTCACTGACGCTGCTCTTCAATCATGTCATCTTGACGACCTACTATGCTTCCTCGTTCCCAACGTCCATCTTCTTCTGGCTCGTTTGCGCTGTAGCAGTCACGATCCAGATCGTCTGGGCCGAACAGCTCTGCATCCGCCGGGAGATGCGTGACGGACTCGGACTGAGCTGGAAGAACGACCAACGTGACGAAGGCGGCATGGGCGGAAATGCTGTCCGGACAAGAGATACGCTCGAGCTCAAGACGGTCAACGGCTCCAAGTATGCTCAAGTGGCGTCAGACGAAGACAGATAGTGCGCGCGTGCTTGCAAAGCAGACAGTACAACATCATCTACGCTTCGCAGGCGGCGTATCGTCCACCTCGCCCTCAGCTTTACGCTTCGCTGAGCTGGCTTCTTCGACGACAGACGGCGGAGGCGTACTCGCTCTTTGAGCAGATCGATTGACAGAGTGAGGCATAAAGGCAGGTGCGGCTTTGATTGATCGGAAGCCTGCTTTCGGCTTCGGACTGTCGTCACGAGATTCGATAGTGCCGGGCTGAGTAGCAAGAGTGGGCGTCAAGTTGACGATAGCATCTTGTGCAATTATTGCCGGCTGGCCAGACGCTTTCGACTCTTTCGTGCGCTTGGGAGCAGTCTTGCCAGATCGCAGAGTATCTGCAAAGTTGTCCGTCATAGGTGCAGCACTGTATGTGCCTATCAGCTTTGTATCACTTATTCTCAAGCTCAGGGACGTACTCTCTGTTGCCGACACTGAGAACCATGGTGGCCGAGCCCAATCGCTCCTGACGAGCAGCGAAAGCGTTCATGGTCGACAAAGGTGTATCGGATGCAGCCATGGCTTCGCGCTTTCTCTCCTCTTCAATCTGCTTGAGTCGCTTGGCCCGCTTAGCAGTGCCGCTTCCTTTGCCATGGAAGTGATGCGAGAGTGCCTTCCAAGCTTCCTTGGGGGTCATAGAACGACCAAACTCATCGGTATACTGGATATTGACATTGGGTTTGTAGTCTCTGAAACTATCCAGAGACTGTCGAGCGGCTGCGATTTCTCTCTGCCTGTTCTCATACTCGCGTTGATGTTGATCTTTGCTCGTGCCAGCAGCTCGCGAAGCGGCTCTTTCTTGCAACCTCTGCAATTCTTCGAGCCGTCTCTCTGCAATCCAGCGAGACTTCTGCCTCGAGTCCTCGTCTGCTTTGCGTTCTTCATCCGTCATCGGCTTGACGAGGCCGCGCTGACGAAGCAGAGCAAGCGTAGCAGCCATACCGCCACTGACCAATTTCTCATTGGCAGTACTGGGCAAAGCCTCGTCCTCTTCCACCTTGATTCCTTCTTGCTCTTCGCCCTCCTCTGCCTGACTCGCTAGCTGCATCTCAGTATCGGGATCGAGTTCGCCGGCCTCTATCAGATCCTTGATGTTGACTCGCTTGACTTCTTCTGTAGAGTCTACGAGCATCTCTTGCGGCGTTTCTGATTTGACACGCGGTCTCCGAGCGGGTTGTGCAGCTGCGCGTTCGAGTGAGATGCCCTTCACGAATTCGGTCGTATCGTCAAAGATGAGACCGCCCGAGCTATCTTCGTTTGGATCGCGCATGACTGCGTCCGGCGTTGCTCTCGCGGTCTTCTCTTCCAGCACTGCGACACGCCGCTGACACTCAGCACGATTGAGCTGACTCGATCGGGGCACTCGCCTTGTGACGCTATTTCTTCGGCACGCAAGACAGGCCGACGCTTGAGCTGCGCACGACGTTGTCGAGCAAGAGCAGCTTGGAGCTCATCATCATCTACAAGGGTGGACTCGTCGAGCGCTTCGACTTGTCTCCTCCTTGCAGCAGTGGACTTGTGCTCCTCTACTTGCATCTTGTCTTCTGCTGGCAGACCAGCAGAGATGGATGCAAGGCTTGGTCTGATGTCTGCCTCCAGGTCATCCGATGTTTTGCGAGTCGCTTTTGGCTTTGGACGCCTTTTCTACATGCACAGAATCAGCTGCTTGCTCTTGTAAGATCCATCGCTACAAGATGGAGATGGGAGACTTACTTTTACTTTGAAGCCCTTCTCTCCTTCTTGCAAGTAATCGGACGCTTCCAAGTTCTCTGCGTGACCACGTCAGCCCATAACTGCGCGAAGATGCGAGTGAACAGACTGATGAAAGAAAGGTCGACGCGCCGACGAGTGTGGTCGTTGGCAGCGGCATTTTTAGCTAACTGACGAGCTTGAATAGCCTGAGCAGATTGAGACTCCTCTCCTCCCAGTCTGAAGCCAGACTGTTCTTTGCCGTTGATGTCCTCGTCGTACTTTGAGAGCACCTTGCGCGTAGATGCGCCCGGCTTGCGCAGGTCCTCGTCATCTTCAAGGAACTCTTCGTCGTCGTAGCCAGTATATGCAGACTTCTTTTGCTTCGACTTGACACGCTCGTCATGCTTGGCGTTCTCCTCGAGGTTGAGATTGTGAAGCTCATCGTCGCCGCCGTCGAGTATCGCCCCGTCTTTGAGGGTGAGGATGATGCCTTCCTCGCCGAGCGAATCAAATTGATCGATGTCGTGAGAGACCTTGATACCCTTGAGGTCCTGCTCGGTGTACTTGCTTGCCGCCTCACGCTGCTCTTTCTCCTTGAGCGCAAGAGATCTTGAGGCCTCTCTGGCCAACCGATCAGCGTTCTCCCTCTGTCTCACCCTGCTCTTCTTCAGCCAACTCAGTGTGTCCTCCTCTTCTGCATCGGCCTGACTCTCGGCCAGTGTCTTGCCCTTCAGCCTGGCTGCCAATTCTCGCTTTGTACGGATCTTGTCTAACCGTGTTTGGGCTTCCTTGGCCGCTCTCTCCTGAGCTTCTTCGGCTTTCCGAGCAGCATAGTTGGATTCTGCCTCTGCTACCTTGAGTTCGGCTTCGTTGAGCGTCGCCGGGCTGCTGGGGTCGCCATCTGCCAGAGGCGCAAGGCCTAATGACTCTCTGACTTTACTACCCGCCCATTACATGAGTCATGATAAAGGCTGACAATAGATCGACTCACTTGGTCTCTGCGAGCGTCAGGGACTCCCGACCAGTCGCATCTGTCATGCTGATGAGGCCACAGGGCGGGACGAATGAGTCGAAGATGCGTCGTCGAAGTCAATTCAGATGATAACATATGACTTCACTTGACACCTCCTGCAGCCTGCCCAGCTAACCACTTTAGCGCTCCTTCGACAGGCGTTTGCCTGGCCTTCCTCGTCTCAGCTTGGGCTTGACTGCCTGCCAAGATGGCCGAAAGGGACACTCGCACCGTCAGGGTCAAGAACAGAGCGCCCGCGCCCATCCAGATCTCAGCAGAGCAGCTGCTAAGGGAAGCCAATGAACGTCAAGAGCCCGGTGCAATTGCTCCCAAGCAGCGCATTGAGGACTTTGAGGAGCTCTCCGAGTACAGAGGAAGGAAGCGCAAGGAATTCGAAGAGACCATCAGACGGACACGATCCAACGTCAGTCTGTTGCTACTCGGCTCTCGCGCTGTGAGTTGAGTGCGCGAGGTGGATTGACAGGTACGGGCCTGGTGCAAGTACGCCAACTGGGAAGCAAGTCAGGGAGAATACGCACGGTCCGTCGCTCGTTCAGCCCGGTCGCATCGTGGCTCATCAGAACGGGCAAGGACAGTTCACGCTCCGTCTTTGAGAGAGCGCTCGACGTCGATCCCCAGGATAGATCGATATGGCTCAGCTATACCGAAGCTGTCAGTCATACTCAACCCTCACCCCGACGCTGATACTCACACGCCGAGCCTACAGGAGCTGAAGGCGCGCAATATCGCTCATGCGCGCAATCTGTTTGATCGCGCCGTGACACTTCTGCCTCGAGTCGATCAGCTATGGTATGCGCACAGAGCATGAGCATACCTTTGCAGTATACTCACGCACATTGCTGTACAGGTACAAGTATGTCTACCTGGAGGAATTGCTCGGCAACATTGCAGGCGCCCGACAAGTTTTCGAACGATGGATGGCGTGGGAGGCGAGTCATCATCATTCCCTGTTCCGCTCTTCACACAGAGCTGATCGGAGATGTATGATGCGCAGCCCAATGAGAAAGCCTGGTCGGCCTACATCAAGCTCGAGATGCGATACCAGGAAGCCGAGCGCGCTTCTGCTCTTTATGAGCGACTGGTCTCTTGTCACCCAGATCCCAAACAATGGGTCAAATGGGCCAAGTTCGAGGAAGACCGCTCCCGTCTAGGTCAGCTCACTCGCTCTGATCTGATCTACTGGACGCTGAAAGATCCGCGAATGACAGATCGGGCGAGGGAGATCTATCAGATGGCGCTAGAATTTTTCGGGGAGGAGGAAGAGCAGCTTGAGAAGGCACAAGGCATCTATGCTTCCTTTGCAAAGTTTGAGGTCCGCCACAAAGAATACGACAGAGCGCGCGTCATCTACAAGGTCAGTTGCTGGCTGACAGTATCTAGCGGACTAGCTGAAGACAGCCAAATCGCTCGCAGTATGCTTTGCAGCGATTGCCTAGGTCAAAGACGGCGTCGCTCTATGGAGCGTATACGACATTTGAGAAGCAGTTCGGCGACCGCTCAGGTATCGAGTCTACCGTTCTCGGCAAACGTCGGATACAATACGAAGAAGAATTGCAACACGAGCCGCGCAACTACGATACCTGGTTCGACTATTCGCGCCTCGAAGAAGATGCCTACATCGCCTCGCTGGACTCGGGCGAAGCGGGAGATCCAGACAGAGTGCGAGAGATCTACGAAAGAGCGATCGCTCAGATGCCTCCATCTCAAGAGAAGCGGCATTGGCGTCGCTACATCTTCCTCTTTATCAACTATGCCCTCTTCGAAGAGACTCGCACGAAAGACCTTGACAGAGCAAAAGACGTCTACGATGCCGCTCTCAAATTGATACCCCACAAGAAATTCACGTTTGCAAAGATCTGGCTACTGTACGCCTACTTTCATCTCAGGCGGCTCGACATTGCCGCTGCAAGAAAAGTACTTGGGGCGTCGATCGGGCTCTGTCCGAAAGCAAAGTTGTTCTCTGGTTACATCGAGCTTGAGATCAGACTATGCGAGTTCGATCGCTGTCGAAAGCTCTACCAACAGTTCCTGGCCGTCAGTTGGACTTCTGCTTCAGCCTGTACACATGCTGACCATGGTAGCGAGACGGACAGTTTGATCCTACGCTAGCGTCAGCTTGGATAAAGTTCACAGAGCTCGAACGGGGGCTGGGTGACGAAGAGAGAGCAAGAGCGATATATGAATTGGCGGTCGATCAAACCAGTCTCGATATGCCAGAACTACTCTGGAAGAGCTACATCGACTTTGAATACGATGAGGAGCAGTGGGATCTCGCTCGAAGGCTCTACGAACGTTTGCTCGAAAAAGCTAGCCATGTCAAGGCGCGCGCTCTCTGTGCCGTCACTATACTGTGCCAGCTGACGACAGAAGATTGTCGTTGCGCAGGTGTGGGTCAGTTTTGCTCAATTTGAAGCAACTGTCGGCAGAGCGATCGCGGCTGAAGTCCAACCTGAAGAAGTCGAAGAGCCAACAGAGGAAGCAAGGGAGGCGATCGATGCCGGACTTATTCGAGCTCGACAGGTTTTCGAGCGAGGCTACGCTGATCTCAAGCGCAAAGAGCTCAAGGAAGAGGTCACTTGCCCTACCTTACATTCGCAATAGTGTGCTGAACCGGAAGACCAATGACAGAGAGTCGTGCTCGTGGAAGCATGGCGCACGATGGAAGAGACCATCGGAGACGCAGAGGGTCTTGCCAAGGTGGACGCTCACAAGCATCGCACAGTCAAGAAGCGCAGAAAAGTTGACGAAGATGGCACGATGGAAGAATGTCAGTCCTTCGCGAGACCTCTTACTGACGTTTTGCTGAACCGGGATTGCTCCCACAGACTACGATATCATCTTTGCAGACGACGAGGCTCAGGCGAATCCGGCGAGCTTCAAGTTGCTCCAAGCTGCTCATGCCTGGGCTCAGAAGAAGGCTGCTGCTGCTGCTGCTGCGCAAGCTGCTGCTGCTGGAGCTGCGTGACGGACATGCATGTATCCCATCATTGCATCACGCGTCAAAGATTATCCCAGATCACACGACAGAGGAGTCGAAATCTATTTTGATCGCGGGCGATCGGATTCGATTGGGACGGACGGATCTCGCCGTGATGTCATTGCGTGTTTGCACCATTCCGGGCGACAGTCGACACATAAAGGTCTCGGTGAGCCGGACGTAGACTCACTCTGCCCATCTGCTGCAGTCTCGCTTTGCACAAGCAGCAAACATGTCAGGCACCTACTCTGGCATTCTGCCCATCACTTCTGGCGTCTTTACGTCCAATCAGCGAGTCGCCGATGTCGATCTCACCACCCATGGCAGTGATTTCGTACGTCGCTCTGCATTATCGGCCGAGACGCTCAGCTGACAGTGAGGCGAACAGCTTTGGGCTGTCTTCGCCATCATGTTCGTCTCCGGACTCGGCTTGACGGCATGGACTTTCACCATCAGCAGCTCGAAGCGCGCATTCCACTTTATGGGCATCGCGATCCTCTTCACCGCGTCGACGGCCTACTTCTCCATGGCAGCCGATCTGGGTGCGACGCCTATCGCTGTCGAGTTCAGAGCGAACGATCAGACACTGTACGGCGGTACTGCCAATCCGGTCACGCGAAGTATCTGGTATGTCCGATACATCGACTGGGTCATCACCACGCCTCTCTTGCTCTTGACGCTCTTGCTCGCCACCGGACTGCCGCTCTCGAGCATCTTCTTCACCATCTTGTAAGCACGACGCCGCCCGTGCATACCTGCGTTGACTTTTGATGGATATAGCATGGACGAACTGATGATTGTCACCGGTCTCGTGGGCGCACTCGTCGCTTCGCAATACAAGTAGGTTCCGGTCTTTTGGTGTTGACTTTCGGGCTAAATCGTCGATCGCAAGGTGGGGCTACTTCACATTTGGCTGCGTGGCGATGCTCTACGTCTTCTGGACTCTCGTCGGACCTGCGCGATCTGCCGCACGCGCCGTCTCGACTGAGAACCATTCTGCCTACGTCAAGGGAGCACTCACGCTCTCCTTCTTGTGGCTTCTGTATCCCATCGCATGGGGACTTGCAGACGGCGCCAATGTCATCTCGACCGATTCCGAGATGGTCAGTTCATCTACATCTGCTGCCCAACCGGGTATAGACACTGACATGTTTCGCAGGTATTCTACGGCATTCTGGACGTTCTTGCCAAGCCAGGCTTCATCTTCCTACATCTCTTCTCGCTTAAGAGCATCCCGTACGAGTCCTTCGAGCTCAGCTCAGGCCACTTCTCGACGGGTTCACACTTCCATACCGAGAAGCATCACAACGGCATCTCCGAGAAGAGCGGCAATGGCGTGAACGGCACTTCGAATGGCAATGGCAACTCTGCCGTGCCTCATGTCGCACAGACTGGCCCAGAGACCACTCATGCTGCCGGCACGAACCACCTCGGATCTACTACTGCCGCGCCATCGACCGGCGCGCCAGCGAGTCATTTCGATACGCCCGCTACCACCACCACCACGGCATAATCAACCTGCTGTGATCTCTCTTGTCCATCTAGACTGACACCATCCATGGATCGGGCTTACTCTGATATTGACCACGCGAAGATGTTAATATGTCCTTCACTAGCAAATGCAGCTCCTGTCTCTCCGGTCTGCTGTACACAACATACTGTATTTATGAAAGTGGCGCAGACGCTCGTCTGAGGATAGCAGCGAGTAGCAAACCGTCTCTTAGTACGAGTCACGGATCGCTACCACCGCGAGCGCGTCAAGCTTTTCGCGACACCGCCGCGTCGTCGCAGCAGCGCCTCGAGCGGCGGATTGCCGGCAAGCATGGCGGCATATCAGTATGACGAGACAGGTCAGTGCAAACGGGATTACCTGTTCTACTCGATCGTGGACTGATGAGCTTGTGTCTACTTCACGCTTCGCAATCAATCTCATCTTACGTCTTACCCTTGCGACGACACTGTCACGCACGCAACAGGCCAGTTCGGCTTCGTCATCGTCGCCTTTTTGGCCATCATCCTCCTACCATGGTCATACATCACTCTCAAGTCGCTCACGGGTCAGTCATACCGCGCTACAAGGCTTGCACAAGGAGCTCATCAGACTTTGAACCTTTCCGATTATTCTTCATTCTGTGCTCACACACTATAGCGGCAACGACGGCGACGAAGACTGCTCCGCCGTGTGCAGGATGGCTAGACAAGGACGAGAGCATCAAGAGATCTACAAACGGTCGACAAGGCGCGCAAAAGCCACTTCCTTGGAAAACGTATGGCAGTCCTAGCTCGTATCAGTGCTGTACTCACTCCTGCACAGGCTCATATTGCTCAGTACTGGGTGGCTCGTGTTGGCCTACTACGGTCAGCGCGTCGCAAAGATTGGACCAAACGCTGCAATTTACGATCCGTTTGCTATCCTCGGCATTTCGACTGCACGTCAAGACGCTCTCAGATGGTCACAATCCAGCTGATAGGGTCAACGCCGTGCAGAGCTTGGGTGAGAAGGAAATCAAGAGACACTACAAGCGGATGACACTCAAATTGTCAGTGCCCTAGCCTGGACAGATCTCGATGCTCACAGGTCTGCACGACAGCCATCCCGACAAAATCAAGCTCAGCGAAAACCAGACGAAGGAGCAAGCAGATGAGCACTTTGTCAATATCACAAAAGCATACAAAGCGTCTGTTCCCCTGCACACGTCACAGGCCAAGCTGATATTCGCCGTACAGTCTGACGGACGAAACTATCCGCAAGAACTTTGAGCTGTACGGTCATCCTGACGGCAAACAAGAATTCTCGATGGGCATCGCTCTTCCCAAATGGGTCGTCGAATCGCATAACAGCGGCTATGTGATCGGCATCTACGCCCTTCTATTCGGTATCGCTCTACCTTACTTTGTCGTGCGTCCTTGTTTCTCGAGCCAGCGTGACGTCCGTATGCTCATACAGCCAGTCAAGGGCCGTTGGTGGTACGGATCGCGAAAGTATACTAAAGATCAGATCCTCAATTCGACCGCCGCCACCGTCTTCACCAATCTCAAAGAAGATTCCTCCTTTTCTGACCTTCTTGAGCTCCTCGCCAGTAGCGACGAGTTCAATGGTCTCAAGCAGACCGATAGCGGAGAGTACAGCAACGTCGAAACGCAGATCAGAGTCTTGCTCAAGGCCAGAGGACGAGATCTCTCTTCCAATGCTCTGCTGCGCAAAACTCGAGCTATGCGTGCTGCCGTTCTTCTCTATGCGCATCTCTTCCGCGTCAGCATCAAGGATGCCAAGCTTCTGCAAGGTCCGTCAGATTGGCTGTCAATATGCGCAAGCAAGCTCGTATTGAGGCACTGCTGTTCGGGCAGAACGCAACGAGACAGTCTTGCTTGCGCACCAGCTGACGACAGCGCTCAGCAATGTAGCGACGGCTTACTCGTGGCTGCATACCCTGTCTCTCGTCATCTCCGTCCAGCAACGCTTGATGCAGGCTATCCATCCAACACTGCCCTCGCTACTGCAAGCTCCGGGTCTGACAATCTCGGGAGCCGAAGCAGCTGCTCGAGCCGGTATTCGAACAATGAAAGATCTAGCTCTAGCTGGCGACAAAGGCAAGGAAGTGCTCAAAGATCTCGAACCGCGCGATGCCCAGCGAGCAATCGCCATCGCACAACACTGGCCATATCTCGAGATCGAGAGCGCCCAATTCAAAGGTGAGTCGACACACTGCTGGCTGTGACGTCCGCTGACTTCAAGTCGGGTTTCAGTGACGGGCGAGAAAGTCATTACGCCTGGCTGCATTGTCGCGCTCGTACTCAAGCTTCGTCTCGTGTATCCACACAAGCCGAGTGAGAACGACGTCGAGAAGGTGTCTACCCAAGGACAGATGACAGAGACGGTCAAAGAAGGCGAGATGGAGATCAATGAGCTCATCGGCCGAAAAGCCAAGGGTGCAGATGGCGAAGAGCCTACACCCTTTGCGTGTGCGCCTCTCTTTCCTCGCGTTCGTCTCTCTCACTCATGAGCCTACTGAAATTGATGACCGGGGACTTGGACAGCATCGCAAGCCGACCTGGTCTGTCTTTGTTGGCGATCAAAAGCTGGCAAAGATCTTCGTATTGCCCGCACGATACACAGATATCGGAGCCAACTCGACGCGTACGATCAGACATACCTTCCAAGCACCGCCGGCGGCAGGCATGTTCACTTTCCAAGCGTATGTCAAGAGTGACAGCTACATCGGCACCGACGTCCAGAAAGATATGAAGGTACGCTGCCGCGCGTCCACACGACTCGCGCTGAATGAGAAGCAGATGGAGGTGATACCCTTTGAAGCACTAGACGATCTAGATGATGCGGATGATGACATCTCTGAGCCCGATGAGGACACCTTTGCTGGTCAGATGGCTCAGATGAAGGGCAAGCCTGTCAAGCGTATCCCAGCAGCTCAAGATGACGACGATGATGACGATACTTCAGACGATAGCTCAGATGATTCAGACGACTCTTCAGACTCGTCGGATTCTTCAGACTCTGACTAGTCTGTTGCATCTCTGCATGCATGCTCTGATCTCGTGTTGCGTCGAGTGCAGATCACTCCTCGGGGTCGTGTGTTACCCAGGTGAAGGCGGCATGAGTGTTGACGCAGGTCACTGCAGGGCATCACGTGTGAGTGAGACGACGAGCAATGCGCGCGGTCACCTGCTCTCTTGGAGGGGCGCACAGATGCTCGTCGATGGCAGCTTATTGCACTCTACCCAGACGCCTGCTCGGAGCGCTTCGATCTTTCTCATGTTGTAGAACCCGTCGACTTCGATGCGCCATTCGAAGATGCAGCAGTTCGCCTCGTAAAAGACTGCACAGCTTGTCTTTGATGGGCTCACCCAAGTGCATGGCAAAGCTTACAGGCTGCATCGACGACGAGGGGGATCCTGATGAGGAAGCTAATAAAGACTGCCTCGGGAAAGACGGTAGCGCTGATACGGTGGATGACTACAGATCGGGCTGGCTCCTCATCGCGATTGAGCTGGTCCACCCGCTCAATCAGTCAATCGAGTGAAGCATAAAGCCAGACGGACGACAAAGACTCGATAGTCATCAGTGTGGAGTTGTAGATCGAGCACGACGGGCGTGGGAGTCGTGTTGATCCAGAAGTCTCTCTCGATGACGGTGGCGGATTCGGCTCGCTTGAACTGATACTGACACGATGCACCGCCCTCGATGACGATCTTGTAGTTCCTCTCGAGGGCAGCAACGATGGTGATACAAGCCAGGCAGAGAGATATGAGCCACCGCATCAGTCCTGAAGACGCGGTTCTTGGTCGCGTGACTTGCATCCGGGGGTGTACGAGGCTTAGCGCTTCTGATGACATGTCAGAGCCACGGCACTTGAGTGTTATTCCTCTGCTCCTTCCTCTGTGATGCAAGATGGATGCAGGTAGTACACGTCATTGTATACAGCCCTGGTCGTCCGGATTCTCGCACTGATCCGGATCCTTGCTGGGCGAGTTCCAGTCGAATTGGCTGACAGTATCCGTGCACTTGAGCGCTGCGGTGACCTCAGCTGGGTCGAAGTCACGGCCGGATGAGGTCTTACTCGTTCTGATACGATTGCAGATCGGCGATGCTCTGCAGGTGAACCGGAAACCCTGTCGGTCGGGTGCCGTCTCCAGCCACCTAACATCCGGTCTGAGGGAGAAGTCGACTTCTGCCACCCAGTGAATCTGGCAGCAAGCGCGAAAGTAGTCATCCGCCGGAGTTTCGCGTTGTGTGATGAGTTGGACGGTCATGCTGGCGAAGAAAGCATCTGGGAACATCGAAAAGGCGATGAGTTTGCTTTGTACGCCACCACCCTTCATGATTTCGGGTCTGCGTACGCTCTGCATATAATCCATGTTGGCAATGTCCGGTCAGGCTCCGAGACACTGACGACGTATGCGTTCTCCCGGTCAAGTCTTGCGACTAGCCACGCTTCGGTTTCGTATGTTTCGACCGTAAACACGATGGCCGGTTTTGTATCACTGAGGGTGTAGCTGCATGTCGCCTGGCCGTACATGGTGACACTGTAGTACGCATTGCGACATGCACACTGCACGATGAAGAGACCAAGGAGAATGAACAGCATCGCTGAGGCTGAGGAGCGAGCGCGCAACGCCGTCGTCGCGTGAGAAGTGAGGTTTACCCCTGCAATGCGTCACAACTCGGTCTCTGATGCTGACGCTGGTTCTGGTAAGGGCGGCCAGATCAGCTCTGCAGTCTCGACGTCGCAGATGACTGTGGGAGATTCAGCGTCGGACTGATGAAGTTGGGTAGTTCCACTCGCCACCGTCTTGTAGACCTGCGCAGATTGGACCCAGATCTTGCGAGCAATGTGAGATCGGTCCTTGACGGACGCTATCGAGAGCACGCCGGCTGAGGAAGGCGTCGATCTCTGCTTGCCAAGCAAAGGTCTGCTCGGGCTTGAATCAGTCACTCGTCTCCGTGTCGATCGCGCAACGGACACAGCAATGACGCTCGAGGACTCCTTTGATGGAGTTCCTTCAGCGTGGAGGGTGGTGGAGAGTGCATATAATCTTACTTGTCTCATCAGGCTGTATGGTCAGCGTGATCGTAAAGGCGACGAAGCTCGTATGAGGCAAGGCCGAATAACCAATCACGCGAGTCTTTTGGTCGAGTGTCTTTGGGTGCCATAGCCGCTGCAGCCTTTCGTCAATGGAGCAGACAAGACTTACCGAAGAGTATACTCACAGTTGTCACATAGCGTTCTTTGAGCCATATCGCAGTCTCCGCCTTGACACAGGGCGTTTGCAGCCTGAACATGTGCCACTTTTGGCCAGAGAAGTAGCGACATTCAGCCGCTCCTTGCAAGTTGTAAGTGTACGATTCTGTCTCTGCTGCTCGCACACCGCATAGCACAAGAAGCACACAAAGCAGACTGAGCATGTTACACAAGTTTGGGATGAGCTCGTCCTTGTTTGCCGATGACGTGGACGGCGGGGCTTCATCTCTGTTTGCGGCCTCGACAACGGGTCACGACCTCACGGATGAGACTACGGAGAGCGATGGACGGTCGAAGCTGAGCACGATGATACATTGCAGACCAGCTAGCTTGTAAAGGGCCTGACGAGGCCCCGTCGGGCTATGCGTTGCGCATGCCTTCCTTGCCTGACCAACGACAATAAGGCTGTTTGCACGTGAGCCATGCTCGTGCGACTGCGTCCGAAGCTTACTCCGCCCTCGCGATCGTTGCACGTCACGAGCGACTTGTCATGAGCACAGCCTACGTCATCGTCGCCGTCGCCGCAAACAGGTGTTTGGCCACCCGTGACGGTGCCGGCGGATGCGCCCTGTTGAGCCTCGACATGAGCAGCGGCGATCAGAATGCTTAGCACGAGTGTCGAGGAGAAGCTTGCTTGCGATGAGACCCGCGATGCTGCTGCTGAACAAGAGGATGGGTGAGGATCTAGATGACGTTGCAAGCAGGAGCACCTGACGAGTTGACTTTTGCCCGTCGCGATCGTCTTTTTTTTTGCCGTCACCTGCTCGGAGCATCGATCTGTCGCCGTCGCATCAGTCGCAAGATGGTATGCAGCGCACCCTTCTCTAGCGACAGTCGGCATGCAGACTCATCCCCGGCTGGCAGGGCAAAGCAAAGAAGACGCGGACAGCTTCAGTGAAGCGAATGATCAAGACGACCGACGAGAGGCTGAAGGCCAACGCAGCCAAGTCGGCAGAGAAGCTCGAAAAGTCAAAAGCTCAGCAAGTCAAGCATGTGTAAGGCGACTCCACGCGAGTCTGTCATCGATTCGGCTGAACGAGCGGTCTCGTGCCAGAGCCCAGATGCCGAGTTCAATGTTCATGTCGCACAACACGGCACTCGCGCCGCCCTATAGAGTCCTCGTGCGCATGCAGCATCGTCAATTTCGAACGCTCGACTGACCTTCGGATGCGCAGGTCGACACCAATTTCATCAATCTCTCACTAGAAGAGCGGATAGAGATGATGAGAGGCATGATGGACTGTCTCTATGCCAAGTGTTAGTCTTGCTCGGCTCTGTCAGTTTTCCTCAGACTGACGATCTGGACTGTGTTGACAGGCATACCATGCATCAGTGACTGCGTCATGGCCGAGATAGAAAAGTTAGGGCCAAAGTTTCGTCTAGCGCTCAGGTGCGCCGCTGTCGCTGCAGACCTCCTGGATGACGAGAGCTGATGAGCATCGCAGGGTGGCGAAAGATCCACGCTTCGAACGTCTGCCATGCTCTCACCGGGGTTCCTATGCAGACGACTGCATTGTCGATCGAGTCACGAGCCATCGGTGCTACGTCGTCGCCACCTGTGACCGCGCTCTACGGCGTCGGCTGCGCAAGATTCCCGGCGTGCCGGTGAGCATGACCGGACCTGCCGCTTGGGGATACTTACGCATGCCCAGCTCATGTACATCAGCAAGAAGAGATACGCCATTGAAAGACTGCCGGATATGGGCGTACCGTCCTGAGCGTTCTTTGTCGTCCTCGCTCGCTTGTCACCTCGTCACCCAATACGAGCCGGCACAGGTCAGCATTCACAGCTCTGTTGCTCATTGTACTCTGCTCCTACTGGCCGCTCTGGCATCGCGTCATGAACTGCGTCTCGCTGCATCTCAAGACGAGAAATATGATACGGTCTCATCGGTCGCTCTTGACTCATGCGTAGATCACAAGCGCATCCCCAAACACAAAAGTCCGCCATACACCGCACGGAGCCAAAGCAGCTTGAAGATTTGTCTTGCCTCAGATACCCCGTACTATATCACAGACACCGCGTATCGATTCGATCTGCCTCTTCCGCTCGCTAGCTTTGCGAAGTGCTCACTCAGAAGGGATCAAGACTACAACACCGATGCGCTACTTCATCCTCCTCGCCCTCGCTTCCTTCGCTGCTGGCACCGTTCTGCCTGTCGTGCGTACCCAAGCACGTGTTTAGGCTATTTGGCTCACGTTTCAGCAGGCCACATGTACGGTCAGCGGCGCCAAGTGCATCGGCCACAACTTGAGCTCAACGGTATGTTCGAGGAGTGTGGGCCATACAGGCCGACAGGCCAAGTGCACTGCTGACGCTCTTGTGGCAGCAATGCTGCCGCTGCACAAAAGATCCGCACTTCAACTATTGCGACGGTTGCTGGGTCCTCGGCGAGTTCTGCGATGTCCCTGCGTGACCGCGTGTGAGAATGTGACTGCAACGCAAGCCAATGAGACCGTCGCCGCCGTGAGCGTGCACGAGCTTGTCGCGTCGATGGCATTGAGGACAAGGCGAGACTGCAAGCTCGTCTCGAGGTGAAGGCATGCCCGAGCTCGCAGAGGTAGAGCGTGCCCGAGGCATCCTCGAGCGAGTCTCTCTCGGCAAGACGATCACACAGTGCCAGACGCTAGAGGACACGATCGTGTATGCCGATGCAACCCATACCGACTTTGTCAGCCGAGCGCAACTCAGCAAGACGTCTGCTTTGCTGAGTGTGAATCTGTATGACAGGCTGCAGAGCTCCTTGATCGCAGAGTCGAACTCGTCGGCCGGACGGGCAAGCAGTTCTACGTTCGTCCTCGGGTGCCACCGACGAGGATTGGCTCTTAATCCTCAGAGAGCAGATGGTGCTCTCCCATCCCAGCAAGCCCACCGTCTCTGCGCTTTGGCACTTTGGCATGTCGGGCGCATGCCAGATCAGAGGCGAAGAGAGCAATTACTACAGAAAGAAGCCCAAGAATGAACTCAACAGCGACGGCGCACCTTGGCCTCCACGGTTCTGGAAAGCCTGTCTCACCTTTGATGACGGATCAGAATGGGCCTTTATGGACGCAAGACGACTCGGAAGGATAAGGCTCATAAGGGATAGTGATCCTAGGCTCCATCCGCCCATGTCACTCCTCGCACCCGACGCTTTGCTCGACTTGCCACCCGTGCCCGAATTTGCAACTGCTCTCAGAAAACGAACAGCTCCCGTCAAAGCTATCTTGCTCGATCAGAACGGCGTCGTGTCTGGTTTGGGCAACTGGCTCGTCGATGAGTTCTTCTACCAATCCCGCATACACCCTGGCCAGCGGGGCGCAACACTCCATGATGATCAGATCGAAGCTCTGCACGAGACGATTCGGTACGTTCTCAAGACGGCAGTGGAAGCCAATGCAGACCATCGTACTTTCCCAAAGACCTGGCTCTTTGCCAATCGATGGGGCAAAGGTCGAGCCAAAGCGCCCGAAGTCACTCTGGCAGGCGTCTTACCAGAATCAGCTGAGTCATCGCTGATCGCGGAAGTCACCTCTAGGTTGACGGTAGCACGGCTCCGATCACTTTCGAGACGATAGGCGGTCGAACGACAGCTATCGTCAAATCCCTTCAGAAGCTCAGAGCTCTGCCTATACTTGACGAAGCAGAGGTAGACGGTAAACCTGCCAAGAAGGCAAGTCGGAAGGCCGCTCCTCATCAGCCAGACTCGCTGAGCGCTTTCACCAGGCCAAGAAACGCAAGATTGATACGAAATCAGAAGAGGGCGTACCAGACGATGCCCAACTGGTCGAGGCCACCCGTACTGTCACGGAAGTCTCCAGTACGAGCAATGCTCGCAAGCGCAAGACAAGAAGCACGACTACCACTCTTACTGTCAAGACTGATGCTCCGATAGAGTCTGTTGAGCCGCCAGTCCCTAAAGGAGCCCGCAAGAGCAAGCGGAAGCGCTCAGCTGTATAGTCGAACCAATGCATGCTCTCTGATATGCTCCCATCCAAGCCAAGTGTCGACCCAAGCATGGCAAGACAGACGAGCGGCGATAAAACGAGTTCATTATTTCTTCACAGGGTCGTTACAGTCGGACAAATGGACAGACAACATTGACGCGCCTGCGCGCTCCGCCGCTCCGTCGTGACCGGGCCCTAACAACTCGAGGCCATTGGATGCGCGGTCTCCGAATGCTATACTCTTCGGCCTGACGAGTCAGACGAGTGCGAGACAGAGAGATGATGCTGAAGTTGATCGTCGTGAAAGAGAGCTGATGCGTGCCAGTCATGTTTCGATGATGATGTTGGAAAAAGCGACGGAGACCTTCGTATCTTGCTCGTGAGGCAGCGAGTTGCTGGGTGTACACGAGACTTGGGTATCCCTATGAGCTTCCGATAACCCCTCCTGGAAAAAGTGTGTGAGTGTGAGTGTTGCCTTTCAATAAGTATGGCGTGCGGGTGAAAGTGCGAGTGAATAAATGCGCTCCTTGCGCGGTCATAGCATGACATCTGCGGCCGCTCGGTTATCGAGCGGCTACGGCCTGTCGACTGCGGTAGCCCCGGACCCATGGATGATCTTTGACTTGCTCGATTGTCATTCGCGCATCTGGGTTTGTCTGCAGGCATCCTGCCAGCAGGTTTTGACAATCGTGTGACATTGGAGCCTTTGGCTTGTTCATTTTGCCCGCGATGGCTTGCAGCGGATCGCTGAAGGGTGATTCGCCAGTGATCAGGATGGACAGCAGGATCCCGAGTGACCAGACCTCAGCAGGCTGACTTCTGTACGCTTCGCCGCGCAGAATCTCTGCAGATGCAAAGTTGACGGTGCCGTAGAAGCGGTTGTAAAAAGGTGGCGGCTTGCGCGGATCCGAGATGACGGCAGATCCAAAGTCGATGAGCTTGACGCGGAAATGCATGTCGACCACAATGTTCTCGTCCTTGAGATCTCTGTGTTGTACTCCAATGCCAGCTAGGTAGTGGACGACGTCGACGACCTGCGCAAAGATGTATCGGGCAGTGTCCTCGCCAAAGCGCGAGTGTTGCTCGATACATTCGAACAGGTCACAAGACGATCGCCTGATCATTGGTGGTGCTGCCGGCGGGCTCAGAGAGTGGGCAGACATCATCTTGGGCGCACTAGGTCGCACGGAAGTGAGTGATGATGATTTGAGCGCGAGCGGTGATGAATCAGGTGCAAGCGACGCGTTGAGCGTGGACGGTGACTGGACAGTTTGTTTACCGGCAACAGCCGAAGCTAGGCTCGGTAAAGAGCAGGGTGTAGTATTGTTAGTCTTCTCAGGCGCTTGCCACGGGGTTCCATGGTGCTCCATGATCTAGGGATCAGGTGCGTGTCAATAATGCGCAAGCACAGGCAGAGCGGTGAACGTACGAGATAGAAGTATTTCGAATCTTCGAACAGATCGACAAAGCCAACAACGCCAGGATGACGAACGGCACGGAGAACGTAGGCCTCCATCGGTATGAGCTTGTCACCGGCAGCGGCTTGACCACCGTGGCCACCATCCCAGTTCTTGATCTTGACCCAGCCGTGAGAAGGTACCTTGTCGCGGTAGATGAACTTGACAGCAACATTGGCGCCGTCAACGTTGCGAATTGCACGAACAACAAAGCCGAATCCGCCTGCGCCGAGCTCCTCGACGATAGTATACTGCGCCGCGAAGCGAGGATGCATACGATAGGTAGCGAGAGCGCGACCAGACACGGTCGTCTGCTGATGTGTCTCGCCAAAAGTAGCTGCTGGTGGTGTGATGGCAGGCGTGAGCGGCGCACCCTGGTTAAACGCCTGTTGCTGTTGCATTGCCTCGCGGTGCTCGCGCTCACGCTCTTGCTGCAGCAGGCGTTTTGCCTCATGCTGCTCTTGCTGGCGTCGCTGCTCAACGAGCTGATCGTGGCTGAGCTGACTCTGCTCGATATCGCGTGGAGTCAAAGGCGGCGTAAGGGGCGCAGGGAAAGGGAAGCTTGTCGCGTTGGAGTAGACCTTCTTGCCCTTGGACGAGCCGGTAGCACCGCTGCTTGACCGCCTGTCCAATGGTGATGAGGTTAGATGGGCAGCAGAGCTCTGCGCCTCTCTGTACTTTTGCGATGCCAGACTTGACGCCGAAGCTGAGGGAGTGACAAAGATGTAGCTCGATTCAATGTCCATCTCTGAGATCTCGGAATCGTCAGATTGGGCCGTCGAGCGGATAGAGTCAGCAAAGGGTGTTGGCGGTGTGATGGGACCCTTTGGCCAGCTAGGCTGAGTACCGCCTAGCCGAGTATCGTCTGGTTGGGCGATGAGCACGGCGGGCGATGGCAGTGCGTATCTTGAATTTGTGTTCTTCTTGGTGCTGAACTTGTCGCTGCAGCCAGAGGTGTCGATGAGCAGTCGCGGTGTCTGTGACGCGTGTGCAAACGGAGCAGACGCATCGATGTCACCAAGTACGCTCGCTCGATCTGATTGCAAAGTGGGCGAGGTGCTGGCGGAGACCATCTGAGTAGGTGAGGAACTCGTCGTTGGTGATGAGCAGAGCATGCCAGGCTGATGATGATGAGAGGTCGGACTGATCGTCATGGCGCTCCTCGGAGTCGCAGTGCCGCTTCGAGGGACCGGACTGCCTGCAGAGGCCGCGTGTCTTGGCGATACCTGACGACGATGGGGACCGGCTTGGGAGCTCGTCATGTTGTCCGAGATGTCCATCGCGTCGCTACCGGCAGCGCGCGAGATGAAAGGGTCCGATGAGGAAGCTGGCATGATGGCTACAGCGTGCATCTTGATAACGGTCTTGATGTCAGGTGCGCGTGATGATGTAGCTGTGATGTGGATGATCTAGCGTGACGCTGTATGATCGCGATGATTTATGTTGCTGCCGACTGGGATGCCGGAGGCTTCTATGTGAGCAAGTCTCGTAGCTGTGGGTGCTACACGCTCGGACTACATGTCAGCGAGCGCTCGATCCTTGCACGATCGTGCGGAAGCAAGAAGCTCACTAATTGTGGTCTACCGGTGAACGTCCGAGGGCTGGGTTACCTTCGATCCGCTTCTGGGTCTAAGATGCGCGGCCGTTCTTTCTAGATTGTCATCTCTCGAGAAGAAGCGAATGGCTCGGCGGCAATGTATGGGCTGGGATACTTTCTCTAAGGTGACGAAGGAGGGCAGATCAGCTTATGCTCGGACAATCTTGCGCGGACATGACACGAGGAGGGCAGTGCGCAATGGTGATGTGTGCTCGCAGAGGATGATGGCTCGAGCGAGCATTGATGCGGAAGCGAACAGACGCAAGAGTGAAGGCGGTCCGTGATTTGCGAGATTGCAGAGAGCATACATCGAGGGAAGTTGCTCCATGACGATTTGAGTTGGTCCTAGCCAACGTGAAAGTCAAAGCTGAAGGCTACCATGAAAGGCACGCCGCTTTGTCCTTGTCGCAGATCGACGATCACGCGCACGTAATCAAAGGGCTGGTCGCTCGAAGGCGTGGCGCCCGTAGTGAGGATACCGTGCACAAAGAGGAATGCGAGAGGATCAAAGGCAAGTACGAGTCGAGTCGGGACCGAGGGCGAGCAGAGTGGAGCACGATTGGAAGAGGAGGAAAACTCACAACGCGTCAATTTGTCGGTCCGGACAATATAAGGGACAGCGAGCAGGCACGAGCGATATGTCGCCCAGCGATGCGAGCGAATGGTGATATCAACCGGGCGGTGTCACAAGCACGTGTCGTATGCGACAGCGCTTTGGTTGTAGTACTGTGTCACTCTGTTCCACACGGCACCCTTTTTGCCAGATTACACCGAGCTGACCAGACAGACAGACGAGAACGGAACGTCTCCACTCTCGCAGGCAAGGCCGCCTGGTAGTAGTGGCGAGCGGGAGCCGTGGTCGCACGGACAGCGGATCGATTCAATCAGCTGGGTCGGCCCAGCAAACTGTTTTTCGCGTGGCTTAAACCTCGCCAGGGATGCGGATCACCTGCCGCTGCACAGACGGTGCAAGAGATCTACAGTGCCTCGTGTAGTGGTAGTCCTATGCTTCGGTCGTGGAGCGAGACTGCGATGTGGGTGCACTGTTTGCTGGCTCGACCAGGCTTGTGGCCCGTTTATCGAAGCACGGAAGTTGCTGTCACACTGTGGACTTGCTCCTCGCAGTCGTCCTTGACGGAGACACCCACGTCTTCCTGCTCTCCTGGGTCTCACGCGAAATGAGAGTGCGATCAAGACGGCCAGACCTCTCGATGGCGGCGGAGGATGAGGCGGATTCGGTTCAGCTGTCTGCTCCTGGCTATCTCGATATCGGAGAGTGGGACAGCCTCCTTTTTGGTGGTCTGGCTGCTGCTCGTCAGGATCGACAGATCAGGGAGCCGTCATGGAGTAATGCTAATTAGGCCAGCTCTGCAACCCACAAGCTCCTGCCTGCCCGCTCTCTATGCCTCTTTGCTGCAATGTACGGCTTGTCCTTCAGGAGACTTGCCCGTCCGAGAACTCTCCATCGCTCATCGAAATGTGATCCAATCGAGCGGCATGGTTTGTCCAATTCGCCCTTGCTAGCAAAAACAAGCGTGCCGTGCCCTCCTTTCGCTGCCCGAGGCGCGCGTGATGAACCCAGTCTCCGCCTTGCAAGGCGCGTGCAAACGCATTTCCTGCACGCGACATCCCCCTTATCGAATGCTATGCCTTCACTACAAAGCCACTTTGTAGATCTTTTTGAGACGCGTCGCCCATTTGTGAACCGACGCGACGCCAGCGCTGCTGTGGGGCAGAATGCTTGATCCGACGCTTCGGACACTTCAGAATCTTGAATTAGTTCCAGACCTTTGCGCACTCAGGAGCACGATTGCATCTTCGCCATCTTCTGGACTGTTCTTGATTGTTCGCGCCTCTGCTCCGCGGCCAGACGGCGCCCGCGAGGATCCGGTAGACACGTCGCAGCTGGGAGCAACTTCGATCGTCGGCTGACTAAAGCCAATGACAAATCGCAAATGGTGAGTAAGCGACCCACAGATGGATGTTGACTCGTTGGCATTGCATCAGCCTGGCCATCCTGGCCGTCTGCGCATATCATTCGAGCATCCGAATGGCGACGGCACCGCAGACTAGAACGCAATGGCGGGCAGCACTGGCGGCTCTGCCCACGCTCGAGGAGACAAAAGGACGAATACCCAGCTTCTTCTACGCCCACGGTCACCCTGGCTTGCTCTGGCCGGCCGGACTGCCTTCTATGATGGACTGGGGGATTGGAGGACCTGGTGGTCCCCTAAGCACCTTTCTGCAAGACTTTGGCAAAGAGTTGCTTAGCAAATACCGCCCCAAGGTTTGTCTATCGTTGTCCTCGTGTAGCCGTCTTAAGGCGATTTGACAGGCCGTGCTCGTTTTCTCTGCTCACTGGGAAACATCATCGCCGCAAGTGACCGATTATGATGATAATCCGCTCTTGTATGACTACTATGGCTTCGATCGCAAGCTTTACGACATCAAATTCAACTCAAAAGGCGACCCGCGAGTGGCACGACGAGTCGTAGAGATCCTCCAGGAATCTGGCTACAGCAAAGCTCGTCTCAGCGGTATCACCGAGTCCCGCGGCAGAGACGGTCGTCCTAGACCACCCCGCGTTCAGAATGGCCTAGATCATGGCGTGTTCCTGCCGAGCGTGCTCATGTTTGGCGAAACGAGCCCTGTGCCTATCGTGCAAGCGAGTATCGCCGACACACTCGAGCCGGAAGACGAGTGGCGGCTTGGTCAGGCGGTCAGCAAGCTCAGAGACGAAGGCATTCTCGTCATTGCAGGCGGCCTCACGATTCATACGTTCCAAGACTTTGATGCCTTTAATCCAGCCAAAGCAGATGCAATCTATCACGAGTGGCACAAGGCCATCATCAATTCTATAGCAGACTCGCGGACGGTCAGTCTTGTATCTCATTCGCTCAGCAGTGATGCTCAGACTGGACTACAGCCCGAAGAACGCAAAGCGGCACTTTTGGCGCTGACAAAGCATCGTGCGTTCAGAAAGGCTCATCCTCGCGAGGATCACTTCGTACCGCTCTATGTAGCCGCGGGTGCTGGTCAAGAGGGCAACGCCAGGGTCCTTGCAGGTCTCTTTGGCGCAGAGACGATAGCATTCGGCCTGCCATAGTCATGTTGTACCCTTGTGACTCGTACTTCTGGTTGCGAGTGTGCTTCGAACAGCTAGGTGCACATCGTGCGAAAGTGCATTGCTCTTGAGAGCCTCTCTTCGTTCAATGCGAGGTTCGTCCGGCAGAGGAGCGCGTTGTAGTACAGCAACAACATGGCAGAGGAGACACTGTACACCGTCGTCTATTTGCCTCACGATCAGCCAAACTTGAAACTGAAGCCACCGCCTTGACCGAATCCGCCGCCTTGACCAAATCCGCCACCCTGTTGGAACATGTGCTGGAACGGATGACCGCCCGCATGACCCCAATGGGGCTGTTGCTGGGCTTGAGGATCGTTTGGATCGTCGCCATTGTCATATCGCGCTTTGAGCTCTGTGCGATCCTTAGCGAGTCAGCATGCCATGAGACTCCGAACGATATGACGGACCGTCATTTCCGAGAACTTCGTAAGCCTGATTGACCGCGGCCATGGCAGCTTGGGAGCCACCCTTGTCAGGGTGAGCTTTAAGCGTCGCTTTGCGGTAAGCGCGCTTGATTGTCTTCTTGTCTGCGTCTCGTGAGACATTAAGCACTTTGTAGTAATCCTAGTGACAGCACGAAGACACTCAGGCAAAAGCACTTGAGAACGACGAGCAACTCACGCGTTGTTTGGACTGTTTGAGACGCTTCTGAGCCTTCTGAAGCTCATCAGCAATGAATCGATCAGATTGGCCGGTGAGCTCAAAGGCTTTGCTGAGCAGTCGAACAGATTCTTCGTAGTCTTCTCGTTTGAGCGCATCCTTTCCTTTTGCAACCATAGCGTCTACATCTTCAGGCAGTCTCTTAGCCAACTCCTCACAGATCGATAGGCCGAGCCTCGGCGTATCGGAGCGAGTATGTGCTTTGCAAGCCCACTGCATCAATCTCGTAATGAGCAGAGAAGCGTCGCGCTGTGCTTTCGCAGTCGGCAGATAGTTCTTTCCGTCATTCTGATACGTTTCGATCGTCTCGCGGATTTTGTTGAGCAGTCCGGTCGCCGAGCCACCTTTAGGATCGATGAGATGAGCAGCAGAGTTCCACTTGTTGCCTTCGACAAAATTGCGCGCTTTGCTCATGTCTTTCTCGAGCGACTTGAGCAGCCTGAAGACGGTCTTGCAGGACTTGCTGTCTGGATCATAGTGTAGGCATTGCTTGACAGGTTGTAGTGACTCTGCCGAGTCCCTACCGAGCCAGAGATATGACATGAGTGCCAATCGGATCAAGAGGTCCTGATTCGTTGACTGAAGTGCCGCGGCTCTCCTGATAGGATGAGGCAGGTCAGACACAATGCTTGTCTGAGATTGGGTCGGCATACATGAGATCGCCGGTGACTTGTTCATAATCACCTTGACCTTGGTAGCAACCCGCACGCAAGAGGCGCAATTCGACCGAGCTGGGCGCGTGTTCGATCGCAGAAGAGGTCGTGCGAATGCAGAGCTCCCACTGAGATTTCGCGCTAGCTTGTGTAGCCGCTGTCTGGGCGTTCCGCGTGTCGGTGATGACTTTTCTCTGTGCAAATCAGGGCCTCAGCGTTTGGCATGAACGGCTGGCGATCCAGCACTGACGAGATCTTTCGCTGGCTGATCGCTGCTATTCTTGGTCAAAAACTGCGTAATGGCCTTCGCTGCTTCGTCGAATTCGCCCGCTTTCAATCTGATCCGCGCAATCTGTAGTCGTGCCTGCGATGCGAGGCACTACTCAGACTCTGTGCGCGCTGAAGGATCGTCGCACTGGCCTGATCAAAGTCGGACAGAGTGAGAACATGTTCAAGATCGTCAAGGGCTCGTTTCGAGTGGCCAAGGGAAAGGTACGTCGTTGCTCGCTTGTACCTCGTCAAGTAATCCGAGGCATCCTTCTCCAGAGCGACATCGTATAGTTTGAGCGCCTCTGTGCCTTGTCCAGCGGCAAGCAGGACGCCAGCGCGGGTAACAAGAGTCTTGATGGGCAAGTCGTTGAGGTTCTCCTGACTGCCTGACGTGGCATGCTGTTGCTGGCTTTCCTGGGCGAGTACTGTGGTCGAGAGCAGCACAGACGCTGCCAGCAAGCAAATGCAAGCCTTGCGTCGACCCATCCTAGCGCAGCGCTTCGGATAGGCTCAGCAGAGGGTGGACGTGGCAACGGGCGTTGAGCGCTGAGCTGCGCCGCGAGCGCTCGAGCTGTTGCCTGACACGTGGCCAGCGTGTCGCCAACCCCTCCGGTCTGGACGACTCGAGCTTGTTTAAAGGGACGGGGCCGCAGTGTACAATGCTATCATGGATATGCAAGCCTCGCACAGAGCGCCGTCGTCGACTGATCTGAAGCTCGACGCCGCAAGCATCGGCCATCTCACAAAGCTTGCGGCACAATGCGAGCGTCAGGCCAAGCTAGCGTCAGCTTCAGGCTGGCCACAGCTCCTTCTCGATGCGCTCAACCAGATACTTGCGCTCCAGACGGTTGAGAAGCTTGCCGAGCTTGAACGTGCTTCTCAGGCTCGATATGCTGCACTCGACGCCAAGCGACTTGCTGCCAAAGCGCAGGCTACCGGCAAGGCACAGGCGCTCAAGAGAGAGGCTTCGATGTCGAAAGTACTGGACCGTGTGAAGGATGACCCCGTGACAGATGGCGCGGGAATAGACAGTAGCAAGGGTCTGCGCTTCACGGTCTATCTCAACACGAAGCCACAGACGTCGAGTGAGACTCGAGCGGTCCACTTTCGGCCTGATCAATACATCGGCGAGCCACTCTTCACGCCCTCCGAACCTGAATCTGAGTGTCTCGAGTCCCAAGTGCGCCGAACAGGTGGCACGATATGTCTGCGCGGACCGAACAGCGAATTGCAAAAGCTCCGACCAATCGTACAGCTTCTCCTTTTCGCGGCCACGCACCTTCTGCTCGAGATGTACTTGTTACGTGATTTCGGTATCGTGCGACCCGAGGAGACTGTCGAGATACCTGTCAAAGTAGTCGCGGCGGATCCGCGTCGCCCATCTGTCTCGCTATCCGTGTTCTCTGATCCTGGGCCAAAGATAGAAGAGGAAGTCGATCTGAGCAAGACGCTGCGATCTCACAGATCGAGTTTCTTGTCAACCTTTTTGCGACCAGCTCAGAGCGGACGTGCACTCGACAGATCATCGACGTTGCAGCCCGCGCCGCAAAGCAACGGCTCAAAGATTAGCAAACTCGTCGGCAAGCTCAGACTTTCGCATAGGCTTCGTTCCTCGTCCATCGATCCTGCAGAAGCGCGGGACAAGCAGCAGAAATCTGTCCTTCGAGCCCGAGGACTGCTAGATGCCTGGGAGCTGCTCGCCAGCGATTCGAGCACGCTCGATGATGTACCAGCCGTAGAAGGGCCTACGACGCCCGTCAAAGGCATCGTCGAGCCTGACAATCCAGCCGCACGCTTTCAGAAGGTCATCGATACTCTCAAGAACACAATCATATCGACCTCGCCCGATGTCGTTGTACCGCCGCCTCACTTGCTAGTCAAGCTGCAGCAGCAAGAAGCAGCCATTCGCGAGCAAGAGAAAGAAGGATCGATCAAGCCAACCATGACAATAGACGCTCGAGCCGGACTTGGCTCATTGCTCACAAACAATGACTCTGTAGAGGGTGTGTTGAAGCATCAGTCGCTGACTATGCTCCTATTCGAGCAAGCCACTCTGACACTGTCGACCGAATTGCGATCGGTCGATAACCCCTCCTGGATCACACTCTCTTATGGCGACTTTCACAAAAGCGATCTGACACTTGGCCGATTGCTCAAACTATGTCGGCAAGCTGTCGACGCCGACGAGCAAGATCACCAGATACTTTTGGCGCACGGCACGACTCGTCTTGCTCTGCGCTGCAGGAGGCGCAAGCCAACAGCCGAAGAGGCGCTCGTTGCTTCCCGGTGTCGCGGATGTTGTCAGACGACGACGTTCCGCTCGCTCTCAGCCCCAAGCTTGCTCATGTCTTTCGCGTAAGTTTAGCATCTCCTACAGAGACTGGTCCTGACTGTGACGCAGTAAGTATTGTGAGCTCAGACTGTACGATACGGCCTTTTGCTCGCCAGACTTACTTTGCTCGCACGACAAGGACCCTGTCAATATCGAGCACATTTTTGCCTTTGGCACACTTACGTGCGAGATCAGCTCGACAAAGGTAGACTTGTACGAGATGCGTTTGCCCTCGTCGGCTACGCACCCTGCTCCGCTGGCTCTCCAGGATTCTCAATGTGCCAACACTGTCTCTGTGCAAGCTACTGATCTAGACGAGCGGTCTCAACTTCGGAAGGAAGTGTCAGAATTCTACGACAGCTTCCAGCTAGCTGTGGACGCAGGCGTCGTTTCCTCGAGTCCCGGCAAAGACGAGACTGTTTCCAAAGCCAAGCGCGACGCGGTAGCTCTGCAGACGCTCGGTCGAGAGGCCACTGCACACCAGGCACAACTCGTCGAACAGCTCAGTAGCGGATCGACTACAAGTCAGATTCGGCGCGATTTCCGGGCTCAGGCTCTTCTGGATGACACGAAGCTCTCTGTCTTGCGCAAGAAGCTGCCAAAAGAAACTGTTGGCGAGACAGTCAAGCCCGATTATGTCTGTACAGCTTGTCACTTGATGCCTGGCATCGCTGCTCGAGAAGACGAGCCATCGTCCTGGATTGCGCATTCGCTCTCTTCGACTGACTATCTTGCTGCTCTGTCCGACTATCTGGCAGCGCTACAAGATGATCACGATGCAAAGTCTGACTCGCTGTCCGACGCCTCGGAGATTCATACGCCCGACTATCAAAGCGTTGTTCGACAGACGCGCAGGCAGAAAGTGGAGCATTCTAAGACCATTCGTACCTTGACGAGCTTAGCGACACGCGGGCTCAAGAATGGCAGCGTCATCCTTCCGGCAGGCAAAGCCATCGAGTCCACGGAAGGCGCGCCGCTGTCTGTCAAGACGGATCTGGACGATGCAAAAGTGCTAGCGGATCTGCTCAACAGTACATCACCTGACGCAGAACAGAAGCGACTGCCCAAATGGGCATCGGGTCGCTCGACGCCGAGTCTGATCAAGAGTGTGAACAAGCGGTCCACTTCGCGCCAGCAAGTCTCGATCACCTCTGCAGACTTTTTCGCGCCCTCGCCCAAGTCAGACCTGTCGCTCACACTGCCTTTGAGCGGTGATCAGAACACCGGCCAATCTAGCTTCTTGTCTATACGCACGCCTTCACCTGGACTTAACGAGATGCAGTCGACATATTTCCCAGCAAAGGCGACCAGTCGACCTGGCTCAATTGCGTCCAGCGCATCTGCGACCAGCTTGCTTGATCCGCTAGAGCCCTGTCATCTCCGTCACGTCTATGAAGACGATCACAAGCAATTCACCGTCACGCATTGGTATGCAGATAAGTTTGCAGGCCTACGTGCGGCCTGTGGCATCGACGAAGACACGTGTGTCTGTAGTGCATTTGCTTCTGTCTCTGCTAACTGAGCTTTGACACACAGATTCGTCAACTCGCTCAGCAGATGTACAGCAACCACCAATTCGGGTGGCAAATCAAAGTCGGCCTTCTACACAACTGCAGACGAGCGATTTCTGCTCAAGACCATGCTCTCCAGCTGGCATGCAGGCTCGGAGATCGATTATGTGCTTGACTTTTGTCAGGCTTATTTCGACAAGACACTCGAGACCGACAGCCATCAGCCTTCGGTGATGGTCAAATTATTTGGCATGTATTCTCTGCAGATGCGCGATGTCAAGACGAGCGAGACGACTCAGCTCGATATTGTGATCCAAGAGCAGATCTTCTACAAGCAGAGGATCACAAAGACGTATGACCTCAAAGGCATTGGCGGTCGCCGGAAGAAGCAGATGCAACGCTCCAACAAGGCGACATCGGGCTCGGATGTCAAGACGAAGGAACCATCCTTGACACGAAGCGCGACAACCAAATGGGACGCCGAATGGATTGACGATGTCAAGCAGTCAAGTGTGCTGCTCCAGCCTCACAGCAAGCGCATCCTCCGAGAGGCGATCCACAATGATCTTGCTTGGCTTCAGCAGCACAACCTCATTGACTTCAGCCTCCTCGTCGGCTGCGACGAACAAAGTCACGAGCTCGTAGTTGGCCTCATCGATTGTCTCGGCCACTTCTCGCTCGCCAAGCTCATTGAGACGAAGAGCAAGCGGGCTATACGGTCTGCAGAAGACGTCACGGTCTTGCCGCCCGATGAGTACGCCAAGCGGTTCGAGAATAACGTCAACAGGACCTTTGTCTCTGTTCCTGCCAAATTTACAAAGGTCGACTCGCTCCCGCGACGGGAGCTTAGCTGCCCGTTGTAATGCTCACGCAAGGTTCCGTATTGTCATGTTGTCATGAACCAGATGTAGCGACTTTCAAGCAAGATGAGCATCGCGCTACGTCGCGTGTCGACGCGTCCATTGATTTCTTGGATTATCAACATTCTTCGCACCGTATCGAGCTTCGCCATGATCATCTACAAAAGATCGGCACGCCAGCGCAGCAAGTGCGTCATTGATTGTCTGGATTCTTGGCTCCGAGAGTCAAGCGATATTTGATTTGCGAGCTAAGCCTTGTTGTTTCGTCTTGTCGACGATCTCCCACGAGACTGGGTCGACAAGCTTCTACGGAGAAGGCCTGAGCTCAGCTTCTCTCTTTCGATCTATCGACAGAGGTCTGCTGGTCGACTGTGTAAGATCTGTCGACGTATATAGGACCGTCCTTGCTGTCTGCGGCGACTATTCGGCGCTCGACGTTCGTCAGTCAAAGCCTGACAACACTGCCGTCAAGATCGCCTGAGACAGCAAATAAGCATCTACACCTCTACGCTCGTGCCGGAGCCATCACATTCATTCAACTACTACCCTCATACCTCACACCTACGGCCGCAACAACAGTCCAGCAAAGCACACGCAAAGATGATAACACCCATCGCATCCACTTCAGGCTCCATCCTGCGAGCGAGCAGATTGGCAGCAACTGCCCTATTGCTTCTCGGACTGGCGCAGACCACTCTTGCCAGCGTAACGTATAAGAACGCTGCTCTCTCGCTCGGTATGACAGTAAGCCGTATCGACGTGGACGAGAGACTTGTTGGCTGAGTTCTAGCCTGCCCGTACAGTCCAAATCGGTCGTGCTGCCCAAAGACCGCTACATCTTCACCAACGTCGGCACAGGTCAGACGCTACAGTATGATCAATCAGGCCAGGACATCTATCCAGGTCGCGGACGAGGAGATCCCATGACAATAACAGTGAGCAGATGCGGCACATTGTTTGCAGTCACTGATTGCAGTGACAGCCTCACGGACATGGCACGCAATGGAGCAAGATCTCACCCACGAACAGCAATAACAAATGCCTATCCGCGCAATGGGACTACAAGTTCGATGGCGGTGCCGATTGGGCGGCCGTCATGTACACGTGCTATGTCGACCCGACGACCAACAGAGGCTTCGAACATGCCAAGCAGGTTGGTCAATTCAGCGTGGACCGAGAGTCGCCGCTCATGCATGCTGTGACAGTGGTGGCTGCTCGTGCCGGTCGGCAAGGCAAAGGCCACAAAGTCCCGCGGCAAGCGATCGCTCAGCGCGCTCGAAGAAGAGGAAGCGACAGCAGACCTCGAGAAGCGCGGATACAGTGGTGTCTACTACATTGTTCCGACCGATCATATCCACGACATGCAAACGCGTGCACTTACCTCTTGCTCAGTCAAGACGGCGGGTGGCGCGACCAGCACTTGCTTGCGCAACTTCAGCGCTGTACGTCTGTTTGTCTGCGCCAGTGCGAGGAACTGATGCGTGCTATGACAGAGCGCCAAGACGCAGCAATGGCGGATCACCCCTGCATAAGTGGTAATCCTTACCAGCCATACGAATTATGTCCCTTGTCTGTCGAAGCGCTCCTAGGCGACTGGATCGCTGTCACTACTATAACGCTACACTCAATGCGCGAAACGATCACTTCCATTTCGGCGAACGTCTGTAACCCCTTTCATGCCTGTATTGCGGACGCTGGTCGCATCAATCCACTCGTTGTTCCTTTCTCATCAGAGCTTGAAAGGAACAAGTCGCGACCCGATGAGATACATACAACAACGTACAGCAAGACTGAAGTTGAGAGATTGACACTATTTACTCAGACTGAATCTGCATACTAATCACTTAAGACCGATTGAAGTCGCCAGCGTTATCGTACTCTTCGTAGAACGACTGAGCAGAGTTAGTGGAGAGCTGGTTCTCCATCGTGTGGGTTGAGGAGCCCGCAGGCTCCCGAGAGCGTGCAAATGTTTCCTTTTCGTTGAGGGGCGACTGCGAACAACGCTCAGACTCAGTGGCTACGGGAGACTGCAGACAGGATGCTCACCGCAGAATCGTCAGCGGGGGCGACCATGCCCATTGTACGACTGTTCATATCACCACCGTGCGGCTCGGAGGACGGCGAATCGCCATGACTCAAGACTGATGCCCTTGAATCTCTCAAGTCGCCGGATAGATTGCCGCGATGGACATGACCGTTGCCACCGCTCGACGTGGACTGATCAAGCGATTGGTTCTGTTGATCATGTCTCGCAATCGCTTGTGCCGAAGAGCGGACAAAGTCGTCAGACGGTGAGCGAGGGCTCGCGTCCGGTTGCAAGCCGCGATCGTAATTATCTTTCTGCGTTCGGTAGTCCTTCATGGCTGCATCTGCTAGTTCGCTATATTTCTGCGAGCCAGTGCATCAGAGCCTGGACGAAATCTCTGGGCAGCTCAGCGCACCCTCTTGTCCTCTTCGGGCATACCTGCCCATCGCTCAGAAATTTTCGTGAGCAGATCCTTATAGGCTATGCTGGGATCGGCGTCCCGCATTGCCTGTCGTACGGTGTTTTGAAACATCAAGTAGGCTGAAGGTGGCCGCTTCGGTGCATTAGGATCTCTTGCGACTTTCCGCTTCTTTGCTCGCTTGTCCGGCACAGAGCCATCGTCAGATTCGTGGCCATCTGCGCGACTTGTGAGTAAGCAGTTCCAACCGTTTCGTCAGTGATACCTCTATGGCTCGGAAGACCGGTGATGCCTTGCATGGGTGTGTGAAAGCCCATGTAGCTGCCTGATGGCCCCGAAGACAGAGGCACGCTCCCTATGATGTGGCTATTGTGGCCCATCTGGGGAGCGTGATGAGCGCTGGTCATATGGCCGGGCGGATGCATGGAATGCTGTTGAGCGTATCGCTGCTGAGGCTGACGCATATAGTCTTGACCGTTCATGCCGCTCGAATACTGATTCGCGTAGTGAGACTGGGGAGCACCATGCGGAGCTATTGTGTGACCCATCTGACCAAAGGGGGACATGCCCATGCCTCCGCTGGCAGCTTGTGCGGCTGCGGCAGAGGGTCCGATGCCGCCAGTTGCGCCATGATGATGCTGCTGCTGCTGCTGCTGCTGCTGCTGCTGCTGCTGCTG